AAGGTAGTCAACTTTAATCGAATGCTTAGGAATTAATTTTGGTTTAAATTTGAACTAGTTAGATTTGTTGGAGACTATTTATTGTCGGTCACGTGTCGGCAAGAAAGGTATTGTTATTTAATAATATCTTATATCATGATACCCTATGGAAGTCTCTTCGTGTCGGAATGTTTTGACGAGCTAAACTGTTCACTATGCTTTATCGACCGACCTAGAAGGTTAGAGCCGACCGACCTACAATTTTTCATGATAGTTAAAACTGGCAATATTGACTGTTAAAACTATCACTATAAAAGTTTTCATGACAATTATAAATAGTCGTTGTTAAATTTTTCTTGACGTTTGTAATCAGTCGTTAAAAAAAATTCATGTCAATCTTGAATTGTCATTAAATACTACTTCACGACAATTATAAACAGTTGTTACAAAATAATTCGAAACATTTATAAACTGTCGTCTTTGGGTCTTTATTTACAAGAGGATAAAATATTTGATTGTTTTAGTGACAATTATAAATTGTAATTAAATGACTTTCTGTGACATTTATTAATTGTGATGGAAAATCTATTCCTGACAAAGTATAACTTGTAAATGCATTGATGACAATTTTTCAAAATTGTCATCTTCTTGTCTTTCTTGACGTCTTAATAGATGACAATTAGATAACTGTCATGAATTATGTTAATGACAGATTTTAACTGTCATTGAGCGTCGACTTTCTACTAGTGCATGGATCACTCTCTTCCCTAGCCAATGTGTGACTTTGTTTGCACTCTTTTAAAAACCCAACAATCCTACCCTCGAATAAGTACCACCGGGAGCATCCCTTCGAGTAGTCAATCATCTGTCCACTCTCGAACTACAATGAGAGTTTGCTCTTTCCAAATATCCAAGTGGATAGAGCACAACTATGGGTAAAGATGTTCATTTTTCCATGGGCCCCGTCGTCACGGCGGCGGATAATCCTTGTTTAAATTCCCTATGAGGTGGGGCTGGGGAAAAAATTTCCCCACCACCTAAATGGGGATGAGGAACGTATTTTGTTTTCTACTCTGCATCATTTTTTCGTAATATTTATATATATACACACACTGAAATAATTGTACTATTCTCTTTTTATATATATGTACTAAAAAACTCGATGTATTCTTCTCTCTCCCTCTCTCTCTATATATTTATTTATTTGTGAGAATTAAACCTTAGAAATTAAGCAATTAAATGAAATTTTCTTTAATAAAAAAATTTATTGAAAAAGAAATTTAAAAAAGGAAACGGGAACCCGCCCCCTCCGATCCTCATAGAACTTCGTGGGGATGAGGAATTAAATGGGGGTGGGGATGGGGAAGCCTTCCCCTTCCCCGCCCCATGAATATCCCTAACCACGGATTACAATATGACTACATCTTTCGAGGCTCATCACTTTTTTGTTCGGCACTTAAGTATTTCTCTCACATAGATAGGTTTTTATTTTTACCATTTCTCTAATACCACTCGTTAAGGTCAATAGTACATCAAGTATCCCAAATATCTCCATAATGGTATAATATTATCCGCTTTAGACATAACCCTCACCACTTTGTTTTTTATTTCACCCAAAAGGTTTCATTCCTGTTGTGCAAAATTATACTAATAACCACTGCTTATTTTATAAAACAATATTATTCAACATCCAGATAAATCTACCAAGCAATATTAACACTAAATCAAGTATATAAGGGAAGAGAAGACGATCCCAAAATTTATAGTGGTTCGATCAATGTGGTCTACATCCACTGTGCAAGGTGAGAGCAAAACTTCTATTAGTTTCAACATCCAAGAACAATACAAACGGAAGAGGGAGAGTAACAAATCCAAATTCTCAAGCAAAAAAATACCACTGGAGCAACTGAAGAAGCGAGAAACACAAGAAGAAGAGAAAAATTCCAGCCTCTTCAAAGACCCTAAATGCCTCTGATTTATGTTGTTTGCCGAGAGAAAACAAGACAACCGCTCCCCAATTTTTCTTCTACCAACACTGTTTTTCGTCGTCTATATATTATGGGTCACTCTCTTCTCTAACCAATGTGAGTCTTTGATTGACACCCTAACAATGCTCCCCTCGAATAAAATGTCACTTGTATCTCACATCGAATAATCATGCACTCATCTACTCCTGACTAACAACGAGAGCACAAAGTTGCATCATTCTTCCTATCAGTCTACTCAACTGTGATCCCCGAGTAGTTTTTGTCCGATCTGGAGATTCATCCACAAGTTTCCGTAATGACTATTACGCTCACCAATCACTCTTGTCCGGCATCCAGGATTTCTCCCACACAGCTAGGTTTTTTACCATGACTCTGATACCACTTGTTAAGGACAACGAGTACCCAATAAACAATGGTATGATATCGTCCGTTTTAAGAATAACTTTCACGACTTTACTTTTAGTTTCACCCAAAAATCTCATTCCAATGGAGATAATTGTCTCTATCTATATATTATGGATCATTCTTTTCCCTAACCAATGTGGAACTTTATTTTCACATCTTGCAACTCCAACCGTTGTACTAAAAAATGATTGACTTTAATATTAAAACTTAATATTCATGTCGATGTTCAGAAAAATACTTCCAATACTTACATTTGATGGGGAAAGTTTTTTTTTCCAGTTCTCTTATTAAGCATTGAGCTTTAAAAGACATTTTGGCACTTTTGCCGGCGGTTTAGATAAATTTTGTTAATAGATTATGATAACTTTTTCAACTAATTCAATTGTTAAAGTTGTATATTTATCAAGGTTTTAAATGTCAATGTCGATGTCGATGGAAATGTCGAGATCTCAATTTCATGGAAATATCGATGGAAATATTGATAAAATGTCGATGTCAATGGACATTTTCGTAAAAGTTAGAAAAATTAAAAAATCGTTAAAAATATTTAAATTAACAAAATAAATATTTTCCTATTTCTAAATTAGTTAAAAATAATTAATATTAGTAATATATATATATATATATATATTAGTGACATTTTGTTGATATTTGTCTTATTTTGTCGATTTTCTTGTACCATGATGGAAATGTCGATTTATTTCTCATGTCGATGTTGAACCTATGGAAATGTTGATATATCGATGAAAATGTCCACGTGTCAACGAATATTTAGAAGCATGATATTTGTTAAAAAAAAAAAAAGTTAGTATATTTCTCAAACCTAAACAAGTTTAGTTGGATGATAGACTTCAACCTAAGTACTCAACCTAAATATAAATATGTGGTTCAAGTAATTGCAGGCGAAATATCTATTAGATGATTTAGATAGAAGTTCAATCAATTCATCACGAAAAACTTCATAAAACAGCCATAGAATATATGTTTTAGGATAATCATCCCAAATTACTTTTAGTAAGGGAACTCGAACTAAGAGACTCTATCCCGAATAGATATGTGAGAATAATCGAACAAGATTTAAAAGAGATTTAGCGAGTAGAAATAGGTAAAAGATGTCTGATCCATTAGAGGTTCATAAAAATTATGATGTGTACTATAAGGTAGAACTTAGAAAAATTGTATAGTTGTAATATATTGTAATAAAAAGGAGACGACTTCGAGGAAAACAAAAGTACCATGTTGAGGTATACTTTATTTCCACTAGTATGTATAAATCTTGTGGTGTAAAAGTGGTTAGAAAGATGTTCTACGGTGTTTTCTAGCTATGGTAGTGTTTTCAAATGCTAAGCCTTATCTTTGGTAGATTTAAGGGACAAAAAACCAGTTAGAAAATTCATTTCAAAGTGTTTTTGAACTTTTTAGAAAAAATTAGTTAATTTCTAGACAAATACTTTAAACAATTGATGGTAATTTTAAGTTGATAGAAATAAATTCACAGACACGTGCTATAGTAGTGTTTGATATGGACTTCATCAGATTTTAACTTAACATGAGCGTAACTTTAGTGGAACTTGGTATATTCGATTCCAAAAAGGGGTTTGAATCCTCACACATGAACTATTTTCAAAAGTCTAAATCAGTTTTACCAAATGACAAGCTAATCTCATCCGATCGGTCTCGTATGATGTGCTCTATAGATTCAAAAAGGATACATTAGTGGAAAGGTTGTTAGTATTCTTAGCAAAAATAAAATATGTATCCATCCCCTCTCAAACATTTTGGCCAAAACTTTTAGATCAAACACAAAATGCACATGGAGTTTGGTATTTGTTATTTAGACTTAACATAAGTTTGATACTTTGTTAAAAGATGAGGAGAGTTAGTGTTTATGCATGAAAACTAATAACAAAAGTTTACCCCTTTACCAATATTATAGAAAAAAAGCACAAGAATCATAGTCGTTTTTTTGATTGATTTAATACTTTCACAATAATTAATGAAAATACATTTTATCGGGCGAAAACAAATTTTTTACGTGGTTAAGTTCTAAACCTGTATAACATATGTTCAACTTCGATGACGTTCTGAGTAATGATTTAGTATCGAAATGATGTCCATTTTTTCCGATTCTTGAATCCATGGACTCCTTAACTAAGCAACTAGGAGATGAAATGAAAATTTCTAGTTTTGATTTGAAGCATTGTCCTAAAATTGCCCTAAACCACAATAGCATCATGATAAACCCTAATCATGACCATTCCACGTTCAAAACCAAATATCTCTTGAATTTCTCAATAGAATGACATGAAAAAATATTCATTGGAAAGCTAATGTAATGAGCTACCAAATGAAAAAAATCCTACTTAAATCTATCTAGTGTAGCTCAAATTATGCCCATATTAATCAAGCTTAAAAGCACACCCAATTCTTCATGTACATACTTCCCCTTCCAAAACTCCTCCATCAATGCCACCCAAATCAAGCGCTATCAGCCGTCGATGGCGTTTGATCGAACGGCTGGAATTTAAACTTGGAAAAGGTAGCGATCCGCGTGATAGGCGTATTTACCAATCAGATTTCAGCTTCCTTGTGTTGAACATGACATGCCGACTATTTAAGCCTAAACATTTTATTCATTTACTCGCAACGAAATTACCAGTAAGATACAGCTGCTCTCTCTTCTCTCTAGATCGCAATTTCATTTCGGTAATCTTCCCTTCCAATTTAATTCTTCTGTTCGTAAACCCTAATTCTACTTTTGGGTTGTGGAATCCGGTCTCGTGTTTACTCTAATGGCTACTGAGGAACCGGTCGTACCGGTGGAGTCTGCTGCGGAGCCGACCAGCGCCGAAGCAGCAGAAGAGAACCCGCCGAACAAGGCTGCCAAGTCGAAGAAGTCTAAAGAGCCTAAAGAGAAGAAGCCTGCTGCTCCTCGAAAACCTAGAAATCCTCCAACTCATCCTCCCTATGAAGAGGTGTGCTGCTGAATTGAATTCGGATTGTCGAACTGAATTTTATGTTGTTTAATTGGTTTTTGGTTGTTGGATCTGTTGTGTTGATTTGGTTTGGTTGTTTTGGTTTTCAGATGATTAACGATGCGATTGTCACGTTGAAGGAGAGGACAGGTTCGAGTCAGTATGCGATCACGAAATTCATCGAGGAGAAGCAGAAGCACCTTCCTTCAAATTTTAAAAAGCTCTTGTTATTCCACTTGAAGAAACTTGTAGCTTCCGGGAAGTTAGTGAAGGTTAAGAGCTCGTTCAAGCTTAAGCCGGCGAAGTCAGCAGTTGTAAAACCCCCTTCACCTGCGAAGAAGAAGCCAGCAGCTGCCAAGCCGAAACCCAAAGCGGCCGCTAAGACTAAGGCTGTGGCTAAATCTCCTGCGAAGCCGAAAGCAGCAGCGAAGCCAAAGCCTAAGACGGCTGCCAAGCCCAAGGCTGCTCCTAAACCAAAACCTGCTCCAGCCAAATCAAAGAGCAGTGCTGTTGCGAAGCCCAAAGCTGCAACGAAGACTAAAGCCGCTCCCAAGCCGAAAGCCAAGGAGAAGCCTGCCAAGGTGGCAAGAACGTCGACGAGAACCTCACCGGGGAGGCGGGCACCGGCTCCGAAACCGGCGCCGAAGAAAGCACCGGCGGCTAAAAAGGCCCCGGCGAAAAGTGTTAAAGCTAAGAAAGTGAAATCGCCGGCGAAGAAGGCTCCGGCCAAAAGAGGGAAGAAGTAAAGGGGGTAGGAGGAACATAGCATTTGTAGCGGTCCTGTAAATCCGTTATCCGTGTGGGTGTATAGACCCTTACATGCCGTGCTATAGAGGAGTTTTAATTTGAGACTTCAAATTTTCTTTTATTTGTTTATTTGTAGAAGGCGACCTTTTCTCCCCCAAGATGATGTATCGCTCAGCTTAGTTTTTAATGGATAAATTCTGTGATCAATTAGGAGCGTCGAAACAGTTCTCACCCTGTGATCTCCACGGCCAATACGAACGGCATCAATTACCAGGAAACTTTTCGTTTCTCGTACGCTAGAATTGGATATGGATTGGGTAACTGAAGTTTGAAGCTTCGTTTTTAAGCTTGGTAAATCTCAATCTTTCTCTGTACTTCTCGCCCCAACTTTCTCTTGTGTGGTTCCAATTTCAACTAATTTATGTCTAAACAATGAATAATTATTATAGGTAGAATTAATTGATTAGCTAGCTATATATGATCTCTTATTATATACTTCATTATTTGGGCATAGGATTAGCATCCTTTTCGTAATGAATGGTAATGGTATAATGTACAAATGTTTGCTTTGTTTCCTGCCTATGTAGATTGTTAGCCTTTTAGGGCGTTGGTAGGATGTATTGGGTTTTATATAACTGGGTTAAGAAGTCGTTTGAAACACAATTGTTGAAGGATGCTAGATACCGTTTCAAAAGTATTAAGGTTAGGAAGCTTGCTTTAGATTAATTTGAATGTGTGTTAGTTGTGGGTTTATGTTCTGTAAATGCTACTTTTTTATGGTATAAATGGTGATGTAGATTAATCTAATTTATGGGACTAGGTTTATGTCTAGTTTATGAGATTAATGTACACAAATGTGTTGTGTGAACCAAACGTACTCCTTATATTACATTCTAACTCTTATATATCATAAACTAAAAAACCAAACACAACTAACGTGTCAGTAAAATATATACTTATGGTACATACTAACTCATAAACCATGTTTATATGCTCTCTTATAAAATTCAAATATTGATTGCACAAATTTAGATTTTCAATTCTAGACTTCATAAACTCATGCTTATTGATATCTTTGGAATCATCTGTTCAGGTTTATGTTTTTTGCCCCTAGGACTTAATGTTAGGAGATTTGTTGGGTTTAAATCGACTGATAGTGGTTATCAGTAGGGAAAACTATTGAAAGGGAAATTATCCTTTTAGTAACAGATTCGTAAAATACATTAGAGGGGGAAATCCTATGGAATATGGCTTATTTATAGAAGGAAGGTATTGAGGAGAACAAATGTAGTAGGAAATCAGAAGGAATTGACGATGGGTGGAGAATCCTGCTGTATATTCTAGCTAGCTCGAATTTCTTTAATTCAAGTATTAGGAGAGCAAGTCTGTTATTATGGTGGAGAACCATTTACCAAAATGAGAACCATTTACCAAAATTTTCTATCTTTCCTATCTCATCGAATTCCAAATTGTTGTTTGAGACCTCTTCTAGAGGGTGTTTCCGGAATTAAGAAATTAAATCTATATTTGATACCTCAAGTTTCTTTAATTCAATAAATTTGGTATATGGGTGGAGAAACCATTTAGCCATTTTGTCTACCTTCCCTATCTCATTAATTCCAAATGGTTGTTCTGGACGTTCTTTAGAGGGTGTTTGATTCGTGTAATTTGGAATTAAGAAATTAAATCTATGTTTGAATTTTGAGTATGTTTATCTTCAACTATAAATAGGCTTGCTTAAATCTAGACTTACTGAATACATCTTTTATGATACACATCCACCTCTACTAATCCTGAGTTACTATAATTCAATTCATTTGCACCATCTAACTTTCCAACCTTTGACATCAGAAGCCAGTATTAAAATCATGGACTGAACCGAACTTCCTCTTGCTAAGTCAATCGTTAATTGGTTCCATGTTGAGACAAATGATGTGCAAACTAGACTACTCTGAAACCTCTTTAAATAAAGTCAGTCTAGTCAAAATTTAGTCCTACCATCCTACGACCATGGATATGGAAAATGCCAATGCGTGGCCCTATGGTTACAGTTGACTTTTATGGCAATATCATCCATCAATTTTAGTTTCTTATTAGCACTTCTTTTTATCCTATAGATCTCACTGTGTTAGCTTATACTAATCAGCATCTATTAAAGTTGTTAGCAACGGATGATCTCACGATTTGAATGTCTAGCTTGCAGCTTCGAAAGGCTCCTTGTCTTCAGTAGTTTATTGTTGGTCTGCCTTTGCGATCTTGATCGATCTAGATTTCAGCTTTGGCCCTTTTAGACATTTTACAGGACAATAAGGCTTCTTTGGAACCATACTTCTTGATATCCAGTGCACTAGGTAATTAAAAATACTATCAGTTTGGTCATGTTTCTGGATATAAATCAGCGCCACCTAGTAGAATTAGGATATTATCAGGTTGGCGACGAGAGATTAATTAGATAACTCATGGTCACTTTTATGAGGATAGTATGAGGCAGTGGTTCTACCACTGGAAGAAGAGCATGGTAGAAACTAGAAAGATGCGGTTAATTTGGCTAATCCACTAGGAATGCTTATGTAAGATCGATCTTCTCAGAGTCGTGCAAGTCATTTAGGCTTTAGGACCTCGGCTTAATTTGGTACAGTTATTTGAATGTTGTCCTCTTAGCTACGATGGGGTGTTTTAAAGTAATGAAATCGTTTCAGCTTGCATCAACCTTAACCAGTCTGCTCCCTCCCTCACCATTTCCTCATCTCCCTTCATTTCCAGTGATGTGCAGACATGTGCAGCTGCATTATCTTATATGTTGCCACCATTTGTAACTTGTTTATATCTCATCCTTGTGTGTCTGCATGTTACGTGGAATCTGAATAAATTGACCATTTCTTATTTTGCCACTATTTGGTAAATAATAGAGGATATGTATTTTGTTGGATAACAAATGATAGTTTGAATTTCTCTTTATCAAGGTCTACAGAATTTTTTCGTCAGCTGTACATTTATGACTTTCTGGCATCCTCCCTATTGGCAAGTGGCAACTGTATCTATTTCTCTTGCATGGCCTTCAGCTCTTTTAATTTAAACATCTTGCTAGTACTTCTCCTCAACTGTTCTTATTTTCCTTCTCGACAAGCTGGTTTATCCATGAAAAGAAGCGTAAGTTCAAATTATAATTGAATTGATTCCATATAGTTGAGCTGATTCCATAGTTGTCCATCAGCTTGAGCTAGCGTGGGATCCTGGACAATTTTTATTGGTTCCTCTGCTGTCCCGTCAAAACATCAGTTGAAGTTTTTTCGATCTGTCCAGCAACTTTGGAATTTCTTCTTTCCTTCCAAATGTCTGTAAATTGAAGTCAGCATTGTAGACGTTCTCCAATTTTTAGCAGGTACCCTCGATATATTTACATTTTCCATGTGACCAAAAAGTAATGATGGAGAGCACCAGGATCTTTGGAAATTTGATCCTGCAGATATCATGCTCTCAATTTTCATAGAAAGAGTAAACGAACTAGTAACTTGCGTAAAACTTAGGTTCGCAAGAGCAGCAATGAAATTTCACTTGAGGTGATTCGAAATATCTGGAAGAACTTTGTACGTTGACTCCATTTTCACGAAGACTTTTTTTGTTTTGTTTTGTTTTTTTTCTCTCTTTTCGAGCCTTCAATTGGAAGTTGTCGAATGGGTCCTAGTTTCTATCCATTAACGGGGGGACGTATCCATCCACAACCCTTGGAGGAAGAGCAGATATTCCACAATCCACATATTCTCTGCTTTTCGGGGGCATGAACCCTGGAAAATTACTCCCTAATCTCCTCACTTCATCTTCTTCTACCGAGATGGTAATTATTCGTCATGATGCTTCCGGATGCGATATTTCTCTACAGGAATGAGTTGGTTCTGCAAATTCTGCTTGGGATCTTAGAGCTTCTCCCTTTCTATAATTTTAGTGAGGAAATATTCTTTCCTTCTTTTTAGACTTTTTTTTTTTTTTTTTTTTTGGGATAAGAGACAAAAAGGGTATATTAGAGAAAACACCCAAAAAGGGCCAAAACAACCTAAAGGCGGAGGGCAAAGAAAACCCTCCCCAAAGGACTATACAATCATAGCTTTCCAATCTTGCATAATAAGAAAAAGACTGTAATTACAAAAAGCCTTTTTGTGTGACACGTTTTGTTTGCGGATGTTTTTTATATGACACATTTTGACATAGGCTTCGCATCAACAAAATTCACAGGATGATGGTTGAATTGTCAGAAAATGAACTTTTTGGTTGAGAAGATTATATGCTCAAACTCTACACGAGACTGGAATTGTTAAGTGGAAAGGCACATGACACCAGAAGTATATTAAATGAAGGACATGGTGGCAAACTAATCTATTTGTCACAGGCAAGACTGGCACGTAACAAGAAGGGCAAGGACAGTAGGGCTTTCTGATAATGGCAATGGCCTGCCTTTCTTGAGACATCAACTCTACAGTCTTTTGTTGATCTTCCATTCTACTTTTACATGGATAAAGAATAAACACAGTGATCACTACCAATTTTGAACTTGTTAACATGTAGATGTGCAACAAGTTTTGTTTTAGTAACCAATCATTCCCCTTCATTGGATAATGTAGCTCGGCATGCCTGTTCTAATCAAATTGAAGCAGTTGTTTAGTTAGATAATGTGCCTCCAGTATGTATTCTAACATCTTTCCTTTGAGGTAGGAGTCCAACAACTCCTAGTTTGCCTTCAAAATATTGTAAACATGAACGAGATGATGGTCTGTAAGATCGCCTGCAGTTTGATCAAGAGAGTATGGAACATCGAGAAGTTGAAGTTCACTTGATTCCATTGAAGAGATGGAACATGGCAAGTAGAATTTGGAATGTTAAATATGTAAATTTGCTCACGGAACACCTGCTGACCACCTAAGGACTAGGAGATGAAGGTTAATCTGATATGTCGAGGTCGTTCAGTTGGGAAACCAAGTTTGGCTCAGACGGTGAAGTGGGTTGGTGAATGTGATGGACTTGAGTTGTATGAGCTGGATAAAATTGGAGAAGTGTTGGTAGGAGATGGCGTTTGACTGGTGTCTGGTTGGTGAAATTAAATGAAGGCGAGGTACCGATTATGGTGGAATTGTTCACTGTAAATCTAGATTTTGAAGGGAGTCATCCTTGAACACAATGATTGTTAGTAGAACTTAAGCACTGGGAAGACAATCAAGTAGGCAGCAATTTTGAAGGCCTAAACGCCAAAAATTTGAAGGTATTTGATGCCTGAACTAAGAAAGTTAATCCCGTTTCTACTAGTTTTGTGCCTCGGTATGGGTACAAGGCTTCCTGATTTGACACCATGTTGAGCTGCCAGGTAGTTATAGATTGATATCACCCTCTTCATCAAAAGTTGAATTGCAATGAAAAAACTCTCTTTTTGTGAAGCTTTTGTCGGTTTGGACAAGTCACATAACCTCCCGTTTCCTGTTTGATGCCAAGAGAAGATGAGGATAATGGTTTTTTTTAAGGGTTTGACTGCCTCTCTCTCCTGAAATAGCCCCCAAGCGTTTACATACAAGAGGATGAACAAGAGGTATTGTTGTACTGACCAGAATTTATATCACAATTTATGTCACAGTTCGTCTATTTAGACAACATCATTCAAGTAGCTGCGTGTCATGGTCATGCTTGTCCAAGACTTGTTACCTGTGGCCGCATGTCATAACAACCTTTTTCCACATACTTTTACGTCATGTATTTAGTTTTGTACGTTGTTTACTTTTCCTTGTACTTTTGGTGGCGAGTGACTCTTTGCTACTTTGCATATTCACATCTGCTAAAGGCAAAATGGTCTAAAATGTACTATAGGGCTATCAAAATTTGTATTCTTATCTTGCCTCTGCATTCAAGTTATACAACAATCGTTTCAAAATGCTTTCAAACGTTTTCCAAAATCTTTTTCTCTATCTCCATTTTTCAAAATCGTTTTCTCCAGAATGAAGGTGGAGATTGTGACATCTAATCGATGTGCCATCGTTGATCCCGTTTCTAGTTGGCTGACTTGCTTTCGGAAGCAAGTGTCGTACAATCACTTTGCAAATCTTGAGAAGGTGCAATTGTGACGTTGGCAGCCAGTCAAGGTTATCATCGTGTGAAGGAAAGCAAATGACATGCCTAATAACTTACTTCAGAAACAACTGATATGGAACTAACTATTTATTGAAAAAAGAAAGCTAGAACCAACTATTTATTGAAGAAAGAAAGCTAGGAATAACATAATGAGTGGCTAATTCGTTTATTCAAAGTCTTCGGGGAGATTATATCAATGTCGCTATCCTTATTTTGTGAAGAATAATGTAGATCGGTGTCTTTGGATTTTTGTTATTGATCTACAATCCCATCAAGCTTCATTATGACCCAAAAGTAGCTCCTTAATTGAACAATTGACTGCTTCCTCACCGAAGGATTGTAGAAACATCATTTTCAAAAAGAAGTGTATGAGTAAGGAATAAGATCTTTTTTAGAGGTTGGATTGTGGAATGAAATATGGCCATAAGAAAGGATCTAACAGCTGTAGCTGATCTTAGTTACTTTTATTATATTGATCCTTTGAAAATATCAACATATTAAGATTGTGGAGAACTGCTTGATTTATTTCAATTGATTTTTGGCTTGACTGTGAAAGGGTAGCTCAATTTCCACTTTATTTACAAAAAGAAAACAGAAAACAGGAACAGTGATGTTGTAGAAAGGAAAAACGAAATGATGAATGTGCAGCTGCTGCTTGGAAATATATAATATTAGTGAGAGGAGACGAGAAGTTTCATGGCCATGGTAACTTTTCATGATTTTCATCCCTCTGTTGCCCTCAATGATTATCTTGAATCTGTTCTCCAAAGAAAGAAAAGATGGAAGTATTTTGTCTTCTGCCAAAAAACCAGCAAACTACAAAAGCTGGTGCTTTTCTTTGTAGTGTTTTTTTGTAGGAAAGTGAAGAAGAAATTAAACTTCTCAGATGTGAAGATGTCAACTTCAAAAGGGTGAAAAGTTTGCTTCACAAAATGCCATGCAATTTGGAAATGTAAGAACTGTACAAGATTCTGCCTACTCCCTTTTTCTTATTTTTATTGTCTTCTCTAAGGACATAGAAGCTGCCTAAACTTTATAATCTCTCAGCTTATTACCAGAACATTGTGATTTGATCTGAAACATCTGTCTTTTGTAATGGATTTCAATGTCTGCTGTCTTGCCACCAGATCCCAAATTGTTGGTCGTAGTTTGAGATAATTAAATCCAGGTCTCAAATGTAGACTCTTTTAAGTTGTACAAATTTCTAACTTTTTTAAAAAGAAAAATACCATTGAATAAAAGGTTGAGTTTGGCGGAGGCCAAGGAAGTTTTTTTTAGCTAGCGACGTAGTGTGCTATTATATGGAGAGCTATCTCAATCTAACATGTAATTGAGTGTGAAACATAGTGATATGTAACTTGCATCTTAAAAGAATAATATATGTACATAAGAAAATGAAGCAAGGGTTTTAAAAGAAATTAAAAAGGCCATTTGTTGACCCCACCACAGTTGACAAAATAAGTGCAATTTTTGGCGAAATTTGGCACAGAAAATGAGAGAGAGAGAGGAATGTGGTTCGTAAAATATATGAAGGGAAGATATTGCACATGATTCTCAAACCAAGAGAGGATTGACATTCTTAATCTTTTGGACTTTTGTGCATGTCAAACCCTTATAAGCATAGAAATTAGAATATTTATTGCATTACATTTCTAAATATATAATATCATGTCAAAATTAGAATCATGTGGTTTAGATGGTTTACATTGCATTTCTAATATTAATGAGTATAGAAACGTACTCTTCTATCAAAAGAGCTCTATTTGTTCATAGGTATCGGTTTGGAGTAAGGTCAGTTCATCGGGAGGTGTGTTCTTCCAATTCAAAGTTTATTCCTAGAGATTTCAACCTTGTTAATTATGACAACAGTCGCGATTATAGAAAGACTTGCGACTATGATAGGGTGGTACGCTCTGTTTTTTTAAGACTCATACTCTAATCAAAAGGCTAAAGATCCCTATTAAAAGGTGAATATTGGAATGAGAAAGACTTTGTACACTCGTGAGGCTGCACGACACAAGCGCACAATTGATATTGCTTCAAAAGGTGTTAGCAAATGTGCAGAGTCAAAGCCCTCCGTGTTCACCCACTAGGTCAAAGTGTTTGCTAACTTCAGGGTCTTCGTTTTTAGATAACAACAAAAGGTGTTTCGTTTTTAGATAACAACAAAAGGTGTTTGCCCCTTAAATCGTCAAAAAGAAACCACACAATAGTTGGATTTCATTTCATATTTTTGAGCCACTTTTACCAATATAAAATTGAAAATTCAGAGGAAAAAAGAACTCCCAAAAAAAAAAATTGCTATTGGGTCATGAGTGTGTTAATTGTTGGCTGGCTGAAAGAGCCACTGTTTCTTAGCATCCCAACATTACATTGAGTCATGACCCACCTCAATTTATGACCTTCACATGTAATCTAATCTACCTCAGTTTCCCCTCTCCTCATAACAATCTCTTTCTTCCCAACCACATCAAACTTCTGACCCCTTCAGTAGACATGCCCATAGTACATGGACCACCAACATCCATCGTTATCTTTTTCGTATAGACTACCGTTGATGTCAGCTATATTCTATAATAATATAGCGTACCGTGGTAGATATATCTATACTCTTAGATCAAGATTACTCTACTTCAAACTTTATAGTATTGCTAGTTTTGAGACCAAATTCACATGTAGTTCTCATTTTAGATTATAATATAATATGTCTTGAGCGGCATGTAAATAAATTGATATTCGAATTTCATAGATAGGAAGGAGAGTATTACAAGAAAAAGATTGAAATTTACCATAATCTATCGACTTAAACTACAGCATTAATGACAACAAAAACCATATATAAATTAATCCAACGTGACCTCGATCGAAAAGGCAACAAGTTCATATATACTTACTTCATTCAAATTCCCTCTCCATTTGTTAATTTGTAGCTAAGAATTGAAGATTGGCTTCAAAAGGGAAGAGGAAAATGGAACTCCAGTGCTGGGGCCAGCTCCCTGATCTCTCAGTACTTTCTCCATCTTTGATATGAATACAATACAAAAACAAGGCAGCAGCAATTGATTATATCTTGTTCCTTTCTTTAACTTTCAACACACAATTTTAAAAACACAAATTCAATTTGTGGTCAAAGTAGGTGATCTAGAAATAGTTAGTCTAGAGAGACACTTTAAAATCTAATCTTTTTTAATCTAAAACGAATTCTCCTGATCTCCTTCCTCTCCGCTCCACCCTTAACGAAACCTGCATATAGAAAGATAAGAGATTCGAACCTCGTCGTACCTGTACATAGGCGGTGGCAGCCGGAGATTCGACACTGCCGGCCGACGCAAAGGTAGCCGTAGCTTTTGAAGCTCTTCTTGTATTCATTGCAGCAGTTTCAGATTTAGAAAGAGGGGTTTGAACATCCTCTATTTTTGGTGTTGAGGGGAATGAAGCCTGGTCCGAGATCACTCAAATTTCAAAAAAGATAGAATTTTTTATTTCTGGAGAGGTTGAAATTCAAAGGGATATGAAAGATCTCGCACCAGACAACATTCCCCTCAACTTTTTCATGAAGAGAGAGAGAGAGAAGTGTAGAGAGAGAGAAGAAGAAGGGGTTTGATTGAGATTTGATTTGGCCATGCATTATTTTTTACTTTCATGGGGTCCTTATATACGTAAGAAGCAAAGGTTTGTTGGGTTCTATGACATGGACTCCACTTTCTATGCTCATATCTCTAATCTTTAATTTCCTTTTTTTTTTTAATTTCCTAAACTCATTTTCTCACGGAGAATATTTCAAATGATAACTAATTTCAGCTTTACTACACCTAAATATATCAATAATTATTTTATCTGTACATCACGACTTGGCTCACGCGTTAGGTTTTGTATGATACAGGAGTCTTTGAAATCAAATTCCTTTTGTTAGTGGGTTAAGTTTGGCTTGCTTTAATATATGAATTTGCTAATCTCACGTCTTAATTATAGTAAACCTATACAGCTACATAATATATATATCTATAATATTACAAGTCAATATTATTTTTGTGAGACGGAATGAGTTGAAACTCATTCCTCATGACTACCTATTCTAGGAATTAGTAATTCCTATGTATTTCCGACACCAAATATTGTAAAATCAAGCAGTTGTCCTGTGAGATTAGTCGATGTACGCATAAACTAACCTCGTCACTCAAGGATATAAAAAAGAAAAAAGTTAATATTATTTTAGATCAAGGGAGGGAGTTGTAGCATAATTCATGTCACAACAATGCATCGTTGAATATCCAATTGAGAAATTTTACAATTGGGCACAAATTTTCAAGAGTTGTATACTCTTAAAGATTCAATAAAAAAAATATCTACAAGTGAAATTTTCGTACAAATTAAATTGAGGTGTCCATCAAAATGATATTCTAAAAGCTTTGAAATTAAAATTATATTGTTAGTTTAAGGATAAATTCACAAAATTAACTATATGTGGCGTGTAGTTGTCTCAAAATTCTAGGTATGAAGAATGGTTTAGTTTAACATTGTTTTAGAAAGTTTTTATGATTCCCCATATATAATAGTTATAATATATTAGTGGTTAATTAAGTCAACTATCAATAATGGCATATAAAGAGATTTACAATAATGTAGCATATTTAAACAATAGAATATATTCCAAATAGGGGTGCTCACGGGTTGGGTTGAATCGGGTTGAGGGTATTTTTGGCACCAACCCGAATTTTTGGGTTGGAAATTTGTGGGAACAGGTTGTAAAACGATGGCCAACCCAACCCAACCCAATAAATTCGGGTTGAGTTGTCGGGTTTTTTTTTAATTGATTAATTAATTTACTTTTGTTTTGTTTATAACATGGACAAAAAAAAATATAGAAAAATCAAAATCTTAATTTAAGTACAAATTCAAATCCTAATTGAAATCAATGTAGGTCCTAATTTAATACAAAATTTAAAATTTTACATTATCCAAAATTTATCTAAAGTCCAAATCCAAATTGTGGGTTGGGTTCGTCGGGTTGTTGGATTCCTTGAACACTCCTAATTCCAAATGCAACATATATATTTTGACATTTCTCTCTCTTTTTCTAGTACAATATATGGGATGAGAATTCGAACTCAGGACCTTTTTGTTAGAAATAGGTGAACTATGCTCGATTTGACATATTTTGATATTTTGACATTTCTCTTAACTTTTAGCATGTATAATAATTATCATTCACACTTAAATGTTGACACACTGAGAAAGTTGCATATTTACCTTTCTTATTATTTTTTGATTAATAGATATGGCATCAAACATGCATGCATGTAAGGAATTTTTTGATTAAATAATATAATTAATTAAGCCAAGCCCCCTTGGAAGATATGCTTTGGCTTTATTCTTTTTCCATCGGGATCTTGAGAGATATAACAAGGTAGGTGCATCTTGTAACCCTTGTCATTCTAAGAATCAAAATAGTATTTTAACCTATTATTAGTAAAATTGGGTACGTGGATGTTGCTTTTTTGAAACTTTTAGTTTCTAGAATTTTTTTTTATATATAATATATTATTTGTTCTCTTTGCAAGAATGAATTGTAAAGATAATTGAATCCAAAAAAATGGAAAGACAATAAGGGCTTATATGTTAGGCGATTATATTGTTTTCGGTTGACATATTTATTTTTAAAAATTATTTTCGGATTCTGTGATAAAAATGGTTGAAATGTGGAAATAAGTGTTTTAGATTTTAAATTTGAAACTTTTGAAAAATTAAAACAGTTAAAATATAATATATTATAAATTATACAATATTATAAAATAATAATTCTACTAAATTTATTAAAAAATATTAACACATTAATTGATATTATTTTAGATTGAACTAAATATTTAGTTGGTAATTAATTAATTTACAAATATATTACTAAATAGTTTAATAAAGTTTTTAAATTGATATTCAATTTCTACATCCCTACAAAGCACATCTAAAAACATTAAAAGCAACTATATTTTGATTGAATTATTTATTTTCAAATTATCAACTAAATGCCTCCTCGTTTCCTAATGTTTTTTTAGTTATTATTTCTCTTTTTTTTCCCTTTGTTTTACTGATATTTTTATTATTTTCTCTTTTTTTTAACACAAGAAACAAACAATGCGTTAATTCAACCCTTTGTACATGTTTTTTGTTTTTAATTTTTAACAGAACGTTTTCATTTGAAAATTGATTTTTTTTTTGTAAAAGAAAAAAGTCTAAAATAATTATAAAAAACCAATTATTCGATTCTCATTCCTATCAAAAGTCAAAACCAACGTGCACACAAATAAACTCCTCTTTAAAATATGAGAATTATTGGACCAAAGTAAAAATGCGAATATTACTAATTTTAAAAAAGTAGGCGAAATGTTATGTTCAGACCTAAGCTCTAAACAAAATGACACTTAAAAAAGGAATCTTTTCAAAACTATATTTTTTAAAAATTGTGTGTGTATGACATATATATATATGTATATATATATAACTTTTATATATTTTAAATAACTTTTAGGTACGAAGAATACTTTAGCTTACTCAAAACGAATGGTATCATTAACTAATATTCTTTTTAAGTGAATAAAGAATATAGGGTTCAATTGTCGATAATAAACACGAGAGAGTTCTTTATCTACGAGTAATAAATTTGGTTCAATTCGTCTTTGTATTTTCATTGAAATAAAAATTTAGTTATTGTACTCTCAAATTGATAATAATTTAATCGTCATTGAACGTGTAATAATTTAGTACTGTATTTTAAATTTTGTAACAAAATTTAGTCCCTATAAAAAATTTCATCAAAATTAAGTGTTGGTTTTTATCATGTAACAATTAATTAGGCTTTGTAGTTTATAAATACATTTAGTCACTCGTTATTTGATCAATCAACATATATATAAGGACCCCCGTTATATTTTAACATTTTTCATGATAAAAACTGAATCGTTAACAAATTTTAAATTAGTTACGTACTAAAGTTTAGAGTCTAGATTGTTACTTAACTTGTATTTAAAAAAATTGTTACTTAACCTGACAAAATATAAATGTTTTTTTTTCAATGAAAGTATGACTCATTTTATTGATTATACATTGACTTAACCCATAATAGGTCATGGTATGTCTTGACACAATTTTTCCAGTTATCCAGCAAAAGCACAAAACGACCAACACAAATAATAAGAGATTAAGGGAAAGTATAGAAACGACACAATTGAATTATACTAGTGTGTCAAACAATGACTACGTCTAGTATTCCGCTCAAATGTGAGTTCCACTAATATGATGATTGGTACAAGCGGCAAATATATCCCCATATATTGACGTTCTAGAGGTCCCAACAAGGAATCATCTAGCTTCTAACCATTATAACACAATATATTTAGATACAGGAATGAAAAACCCTCAATAGAATCAAGATCTAATTACCTAAAATATGTCGATCTTGATCTGCCGAACTCTACTACCAATACCTCGAGTCATTGCATATGAATTGCCACAAAAATAATGCTCTCAATTTCGACTTGGAAGTTAATACCCACAGCTGCCCAAAAACCTAGGTGAAGAAATTATTTTATAATATCTTACGCCACAACATCGAGACGTTGTCCACTGTGTCTCAACACTACGGACGCGAAGCACTAAATGCACGTCTCCTTGCAATAGCACCCCTAGCATCTCAATGCTGCGAACTTTGCAGCGTATTCCTTCGCTTTCGCAGTAGAGTGTCTCAATGGTGCCTTCAACGAATGTGCCTTAGAGCTCCCAATCTTCCTTCCTTGTTCAAGTTCCATTTCGTCATCGCTTGCTTCAAGTGTGGGTTCTACCAATCTCAACAATTCATAGTCCTATGCTATTAGATTTTATGGGTAAGAAACAAAGAGGACAAAAAATTATTACACCAAGAAGCCAAAAATATTGGCCTATGATAAATTCGAACACTTTGTTTTGAATCGTAATATTTACGGGTCACAAGCCAGAAAAAATTGGTTTGATTTAATCACGTTAATTTTCAAGAAAAAACGACAAGCAAATTTACGATTCGAAATTTTAGTACTGGGTTTAGTTCAAGTTGATATGTTTTTTTTTCCTTTCAAAGTACAGAGTTGATATGAAATTTTGTTTGCTCACGGGTTCTTCTTAACAAAAAAGAAAAAAGAAAAAAGAAAAAAGGAAAAAAAAACCTCACGGGTCGTTCTCAATTCTCATGTCCAAATCTATAGTATTGGCATACCTATATACCTAATTTGTTCCCAATTTTGTTTATAGGTAGAAAGAACTTAGCAGAAATTTCTCTTAAGTTAGGCAATTTTCCATAATTACTTTACAGAGCAATTATTAATGCACTTTGATTGGGACCTTCCATTATTCGAATTGAAGGTTAGGCCACCAAAATAGGCTACTCGACATTTTTAGGAGTAACAAAAAATTCTCACTTGTAAAAAAGATAAAAAATAATAATAATGAAATTAAAAAATCTCAAGAAAATCTATTACTTTTAGGCTCCATCGTGAACGAAGATGTGAAATATCACCATTTTAAATGCGGTTGGATCAACTACAATAAAAAATAAAATAAAAAAAAACCTTTGTCGTTTTATTTTATTCAACTCTTCATTTTCTCATACTAAAACTAAAAAATACTCCCTTAGTCATGTAGATTGGTTTTTTTTTTATTTCTACATTTTTAAAATGTTTTATTTTAATCTTATTTTGGTCTCTTAATTTTATTTTTAATCTCATTTTTCTACCACAAGTCAACAAGATGCTGTATTCTATATATTTCTTTATAATGTTACTATTATTTTATATTAATTCGTTTTCATTAAATTGAGAATTTGTGTTAAATTTTTGAAAATAAGAATAAAGATGGTAACTTTTCAAAAAATATTAATCAAAACAGACATTAAAGTACAGTACATGGACTAAAAAGTGTGGAGACAAAATTAGAATTTTAACCTTTCTTTTACCATTTGTCTATTGACACATATAAAATCAACCAATATTTATAGTAATTAGTATTTTATCCAAAGAACTATTTTATTTCGATTGAAAATATACACTTAGTTTGAGCTATGTTCAAAATATAAATTAAAACTGAATCATATGATAATAATAATAATTTATTATTTAAAGTTATTAACATAAACACAACTTAATTGGTTAACATACCAATCTCTAATCATAATCAAAATGCGGTGAGTTAAATATTTATCTCCGTATTAAAAAAGTAAATTAATATTATTATTGAGATATTTTATTTTGAACGAATATTATTATTAAGATATGAAGTAAATATATACAAAACACAAACTAGATTTGTAATTCAATCGTGCATTCTTGCATAAGATCAATATGAATAGGTAGAGAAAGGTCGCGAATATTGGCGCGAGAAAAAAAAAAAGGTATATAAATAAGATAAAACGGCGGGGAAGAAAAGGAGAGAGTGGGAAAAACAAATTTGGCGCTTAAACCGTTCCCCGACTCCACAACCCAAATTATTTTTTATTGAGTGTTCATCGAAATTCGCTTCGTTCTCTGTAACCATATTGTTCCCGCTCTCTCGACCTGCTCTCTCGTCTCGAGGAAGAAATCCCCGAAATCTCTGTTTTCCGGTAAGTGAATGCGAAATTGAGCTCTCAATTTCTTTAGATGCATTGTTTTCATTTTTAATCTTTTATGAATCTCCGGTCATTCCATATTTCCGTCTGCGTCTTGGTTCTTCTTATCTTAGGGTTTTCGGGTAATGTCATTGTATCAGTCGACGTCTCTGTTTTTGGTGGAGGCATTTTCTGTCTGCACATTTTTCTTTCTGTGTCTTGTACGATTTGTTAGAGTGGGGGTAATCTATATTACAGTTTTGGCATTTTTTTGGAGTTCTGGTTTCGTTTTACAGTTTATACTGTCTTCTTCTGGTGGTGCATTATGCTTCTGTGAACGCGTTTGGTTATACAGAAAGTTGAGGGAAGTAAGAAATATTATGTTGTCTGGGAAGGAGGGATATTCGATTTTGGACCCAACTATTCTGGGCCTTTCTTACAGTTCTTTGTTCCAATCCTTTGTGTACCTTCTTCCATTAGGAGCCTCTTCTTTTTCCTCTCTTTGGAAGGTGAAGGTCCCAAGAAGGCCAAATTCTTTGGGTGGCGGGTTTGCATGGGAGAGTGAACACCTTAGATCATATTAGGAGGGAATCATTCTTCATGTTTTCAATGGAGCTCTTTGTGTAAACGGGCGTTAGAGGATCTTGATCACATCCTTCAAAGTTGCGATTGTGCTATGACTCTTTAAAATTGTCTGTTGGGGTCACTTGGAGCCTGTTGGGTGCAGAATAGAGATTGTTGTTCTATGATGGAGGAGATTCTTTTGAATCCTCCCTTTTGAGAGAAGGACAAAGTCCTTTTGCAGACTTGTTTTTTGCTATGTTCTGGAGTAGAACGATAGAATTTTTAGAGGGATAGAGAGATATGAAGAAGGGTATGGGATGTTGTTAGATCAAGTTCCTCTTTGTGGACATCCGTTTCTATGCTTTTTGTAATTATCAGCTAGGTATTATTCTTTGGACTAGAGTCCGTTTATGCATTATTAGGGCTTGGACTCCTTTTATAGGGCTATTTTTTCTCTTGTAGAACAAAAGTTTGGTTTTTCAAGAATAAAAAATAAAAAATAAAAAATCAAGGCTATTTTGGAATATGAATGATATAATTGGGTTTTTGAATTTTAAGGTATTCTTGGTGATCGAAAAGATATGTAGGAAGTTAACAAGGCTCCCAAGCGTCATTTGAAGAGAATCGACCTTTCACTTGTTTATCGAGGAATTGTGTTTTCATTTCACTAATATAATTTGGCTGTATCATTATGTCAGCTGTAGATGTCTTCTATAATGTTGAAGCTTATGGGGTTGGTGCGGCTTTGGATTTACACTTTCGTATATTCGCCATCGGAAAGCATAAAATTTTAGTTAAATTGCACATTTGTTTTTTCATCCAACTTTATGCTTGTTCATTGAGCACTTGGCTATGGTCTCGGCTAGCGAACATCAAGGCAGGCATTACAAAGAGCGGTATTTCATTCATTTGCTGATATTATTTTTTCCCATAATTTGTACTGATTTGTCCATATATTTGTTGTTGTTGGTTGAATTTTTCCTCTAGGGTCTGTATGGACAGGGAAAATTGCACGACACCTGATGCAGGTGAGGTAATCGAGGATTTGAAATTTTCACAAAATGAAACATTCGATTATGACTTTAGAGGGTCCGAAGTAAAGAAGTGGCCTGGATGGCCTGGGGAGAATGTATTCAGGATGTTGGTTCCCATACAAAAGGTTGGCAGTATCATAGGTCGCAAGGGAGAGTACATTAAAAAAATCAATGAGGAGACTAGAGCTCGCATCAAAATTCTTAATGGTCCTCCCGGGACATTAGTTAGAGCAGTGAGTTTTTATCTTATTTTATTTTTAGGTTTTCAGTGTGTAACACTGTTTTTATAAAAACTTGTGCACCCTCTGTCTATTTAAATTATTATTTCTTTTATTTAGAGTTTTATATGTTGCTGATGGCTGTATTTAATATACAATACAGGAATTACTCATTTTATAAGCCCAGTGCAATTATTAGTTTCCTGTGTTTAATTGTTGAAATATGCTTTCTCCCATTATCTGTGTATGAAATTATGTTTTTCTTAGCAAAAATTGGCTACACACCAGCAGGTAAGTGCTTTTTGATGTGTCATGTTTTTATTAGATCTAACATATTAGTTTGGTTCATGAGTTTATTAAATTTAAGTATAATTTTAATAAATTAATAATTTCAACTTGGACTACTATCATTATTAATTTCTTGTTTGAGTACTGGTTGTTGGCCTATGCCCATGAAAGTACTAGTTATGTAATTATTACATAAAATTAGTTCGTTTTCTTTAGGAACTAAAAGCTGAGGGACTGATAACAAGAAAAGTAGTTTGAAAATAGAAAGAGTCCTGGGTTGATGACTCTGAGGGAAGTTGTGAACAAAGTTTAATGGGGAACAAGGAAAGATAGAAAATACAACTTGGAAATGTATGATAAACAACAAGAGGCTAAATCTTACACAGAAGTATGCTTTACTAAAGTAACAAAAATAAGCATGTGCAGGTTCCAAATTGTGATTAAAGTTGTGGAGTTTACCTCATAGGTGGTGCTGAAAACTTTCTTTTTCCAAACCATCACAAATGGGTTTTGCAGGATCTGGTTTCCTGAAGCTTTTGCTTTCTATTAATGCATAAGTTGATCAAACAGCATCTTGCCACAATCCACGTTGTTGTTTGGTACTGCTATAAACTTCTCATAAATGTCTGGACTGTTCATATTAAAATGTGAAGTGGCTTTTCAACACTGTTTCCCATATTATGCAAGTAGCACACACCATTATAAACTGAGCTATGATGTTGATATTAATCACTTAGCAACTAACATATTGCAAATGGTTCCAACTCTTGTTGAACTTTTATATTCTCACTTTTGAGTTGAATGTCAAGGTCGAATGTTTTTACAGAGATATATATAATACTAAAAATGCTTGCAAGGTAAATTTGAAAATGACATATATACTTATACTGACGAACTTGATTGAATACTCCACATTTTAATGGTAGGTACAAGTTATTGTATGTGCTGCTGAATTTAGTATTTGGATGTAGGGAAAGCCACTCTAGAAGTGCATATGGGTCATCCTTCTAGGAGAAAAGGCTAGAATTTTGTTAACTAACGTTTCTAAATTCTTCAATTTGGAATTGACCTTAGAAAAATAGGATAAATTTTGAAACTTTGATTGGTATTAGATGGCTTTTCGTGACTTAGTTTGCTTGTGGCGTCCACTTAGAGTTCCCTTTTGAAATATTATTGTTGTCATACCTGGCTAATATTAATGTCAGTTGAAGTGTTTTTCTTGAGCTCCTAGGTTTAGGTTTGGAAGAACATCTTATCTTCCTGTTTACTTGTATATTTTCCCCCTTCAGTGGAAGTGTTTCTTATAAAGAAAAGAAAAGAAACGTTTCATGTAGCATTTAAGATGAGTTACATTGGTCAGAATATTTATTGCAAACGGGCTCAGTATTGGTTTCGTAATCCTAGCAATAGTATTAACTTCCTGGCGCAACTTTATTGTTACTCATTCAAACACTGATGATCTCTTTACCCAACAAAGAATGATGTAATAGACTTGGCAATTTATTTTATTTTGTATGTACATGTCAGTTTAAATTATAGTTGGACCAGTTGTATTGGATCTAAATTTTTGGCTGGCTCAGTAATGCACTCTTCCCCCTCTTTCGATGCCATTTCAAGGTCATAGTGTCGGCCAAAGAAGATCTAGAATTGCCAGTTTCTCCTGCAATGGATGCTTTACTGAGAGTTCACCAAAAGGTGGTTGACATAGATAACAATTATTCTCAAGCTACATCAAATGCAGGGGGCAAGGTTATCACAAGGCTTCTTGTTGCACATGCACAGGGAGCAATCTTAATTGGGAAGCAGGGTTCCACTGTAAAATCCATCCAAGATGCTTCAAATTGTTCCATAAGAGTTCTTGGAGCAGGTGTGGTGATATGAAGTTAAGTACTATATTAGAAATCATGGTGATGAAATAAACTTTTTATGTCTGTCTTTTCTCTCAACTAAAAGCCTAACTAGTATCCAGGAGTTGCAATTCTCGTACTAGTCTTTCAATCTATTTCCACCAGCACATTTAGTACGCCTCTTTTGATGAGAATGATATTTCACTGTTCCATGATGGATTTTTCACTCTCTTGTATTTGACATTGAAATTTCCTTGCCCTGGTTTTGTACTTTTTCACTGATTTTGCTATTCTGATGGTGTTATCATCTGCCTCATTCATTATGTCATGTTTTTTTGGCTACTAACCAACTTGTAACATGTTGCCTTCTAAATTTTCAGAATATCAATAATTTCACTAGCCTTTTATATTGATTTTAACCATGTTGTAATTTGTAAATTGTACTCTTTGTTTAGTAGTAATGTGAATGTAAAAATAATTTACTGCAGAACACCTCCCGTCTTTTGCTCTGCAAGATGACAGTATTGTTGAGATACAGGGGGAATCTGCTGCCGTTCATAAAGCAGTTGAATTAATTACTAGTCATCTACGGAAGTTTCTAGTTGACCACAGTATAGTTAGTGTTTTTGAAACGCAAGTAAGTCTATTTTTTGACTAGTTTTCATTATTTTTGAAATTGTAAAGTTAGAAAATGTTCAGAACGGATGGATATTGCTTATCTGGATTGAAAATAGAAGATTTGAAGATAGGGATTATGATCTGGATCTTATTCATGAAACTGTACACCATACCATTTGGAAGTCTAGTGCTTGAAGTTGAATATCCAGAGACTTTGGTAGCTATAGTACCTAGACTAAGATGCAACTTTTGAATCAGAAAATGACAGAAGAATTGGATAAGGTCTTAGGTGTGTGTGTATATAAATATATACATATATTTATATATATCTCTAGGGATGAAGATTTGAACCTCCAGTCTTTCGGTCAAGCATATATGCCTTAAAGCCCCTTAACTAGTTGAGCTATGTTGGCAAAATAAGAGCATGCTTTATAAAGTCGAGAATTTCATAAACGGTCGCATCATTTGTGTGGTTTACAGTTTATTTTAAGACCATTTAATATTGAAGTCTTAACTATTTTCAGAGTCAATATCTTGACCTGATAGATAGAAATATATTTAGTAGTTCCAAGTTTCAACTTCCTTCGTTTCTAATTTTCTAATTCCTTATCAACTGGATTGTTTATGATTTTCAATATATTGATGATTTTCTAATTCCTTATCAAATATATTTTTATTTGGCTCATTATGATTAGTTAGACTGTCTAGTTTCTGCATCATTTGAACAACTTCTGCATTTGTGTTGTATGACTTCTGTATACCACCACAGTTTGATTGTAATTGTGTTTTTGGAAGCGAAATTTAAGATACTGACAAGTTTTAGTTTCTAATTCAATTGCTACAACAGTATGCATGATGTGTAGTTATCATTGTTTAGATGCAGATGCTACAATCTAAGCAGAACATCTTCCCACAGACCAAGGACCTGTGTCCTGTCTGGCTTCCAACTTATAATGATTTTATACCTGGCTTTGAACCTCATACTCAGTACGACCAGGGTCCAGATCAGTATTGGAAGTACATATCACCACCTGATTTGTGCCTGGACAAGCAGTCTCATCAGGGTCCTGTATTTGGGAGGGACGCTGGAGTTCATTTTACCAGTTTGCAACCACGACAATCATTAGTCACAAAGGTATCTTGATTTTATTTTTCTTTATTCTTTGGTAGCAAGTTCGTTTTATGTTAATCTTCAATTATGCTACTAGATTATGAATGAGGTATTATTCTCATAGAGGACATCATATTTTTCAATTATACTAGTTTGTTTAATTTAGACCATTAGATGAAACTCTACATACTGTTTTTTTTTTTTAAGAAACATCAAAAAGGTATATAGAAAAGGGGAAGGTCCCCAAAAAGATACAGCCTAAAGGCGGAGGGTAGAGAAAACCCTCCCCTCAAAACTTTTTGAGTCAAAAGAAAGAAGCAAATCTGCAAATCTGCAATGGAGTCTATAAGCCAAACGGCCACTACTTCTTCAAGGGTAATTGTGAAGCTCCGTCGTAGGTGGAATTCCTCAACTAAGACAACTCTTCCTTTACTTCTTGAGTCAAAAGAAACTTTGAAGGACTTGTTTTCAATCTTGGTAGACAGCCACCGTGAAGCCATGGCAGAAGCAAAGCCGGCGGCGGTTAGGGGGAGAGCAATCTCAACTGAACAAGTTTCTCATAGTTTTCCAATCCTTTATACAAACTCTACATACTGTTTTTGCTAAGATGACTTACTTGAAATCAATACTTGGATTCCAACTTGAGAATGGGAGAAAAACTTCTGTATTATAACTTGGAGTTTAATAAGGCTGGATGTCTTTTGATGATCACCATGATAAATCATGTTAAAACTAAAAGTTAGTGTGCAAGGCGACTCTAAATGTCACCTCTCCCTTTGATCCTTTCAATGTTACCCTATGTGAATTTTAATTCGAGTATTCTGCTCTATCTGCCTAAAATTAAATTTATAAGCTAAGGTTGTTGCTAGAAACTAATTGTTTCCTCTGTGTTTCATAGATTGTACTATTGTTAATAATAGATGTAATATTTAATATGTTGAAGCACCATTCGAATGGGGTGATTTTAAATTTAGGCCTACGGGCATGTAGTACTGTTTATTAACATATCTTGGCTTATTAATTTCTAAAAGACATCTGTAACCTGACATAATTGTAGGTAAGACTTATTATTGTGAGAATTCAACTCAATCTCTTTTTCTTGTTTCTTGTTCAGGTTGAACTCTGCATGCAAATTCCACTTTCATACGCAGATTCTGTTATTGGGATGTCCGGTGTAAATATAAGCTACATACGTCGGACCAGTGGGGCATCTGTTGCAATCCAAGAAACAAAAGGTGTTCCTGGGGAGATGACCATTGAAATAACTGGAACTCCTTTACAAGTACAAGCAGCTCAACAGTTGATACAGGTTTCTTGAAGATTATTTTTTCTTTTAAATTCATGAAATCTGAATGTCCTGACTTCTATTTTATTAATTTTTTTTTTTGAAACAGGCGACTTCCTTTTTTCTATCCATATTATTTTATATTTTCGAGGAATTCTACCGTATCATGAAATCTGAATGTCATGACTTCCTTAGGAAGATATCAGTTTGGTAGGAATTGGAGGACTTGGGAGGTCTCTACACTAACACTTGGGCCTTTTTTTTTTTCTTCTTTTTACAAGAAACAAGATGATATATTAACAAAAGGGCCACAAAGAACAGCCTAGGGGCTGAGGTAGAGGAAACCCCTGCCCAAAAAGGAAACTAAATAATAAAAGCCTTCCAATCATTGACAATCATTAGAATGCTAGGATCACAAAAGAATTTCTTGTGTTTGAGCACCGCTGAGGTAGTATGCTAGACACTTCTTCAAAAAGAATCTCTATCTATTTTCTATCTTAAAAAATTCTTTGATTTCTCTGAATCCAAATAAGCCAGAAAATAGCTCTCATGGCACAAACCCCAAAGAATTTTTGCTTCTCCTTTAAAGAAGGTTCCTGCTAAGCACTCCAAGAGCCACAAGTCCACTTTCTCAGGGAGGCAACCAACCAAACCAAACCTTGGGCCATTGGGGCGATTTTAATGTCTACCGTTGGTCTCATAAAAAGTCACGATGGGATTCGAAAACTCACCTCACTCGCTTAACCTTGGTTGCTACACTGAAAGAGTACATCCCTCTTAACTTATAATACACTGAATTGTCTGCTATATACTCAGCACTTTTCCTGCCATACTTCTGGTCAGAAAATCCCCATAACTTGACAATACTCTCTACTTGGTTGAACCCCCCTTTCCAATCTCATCCTAGGGTGCACGTTGGCTATAGGAGGTTATCTGATTTTGTAATAGAAGCAACGCCTTTTTAATCAGAACAGAGAAGTACATTAAAAAGAGGAATACAAAGAACAACCTAGGGACTGGGCAGAGAAACCTCTGCTCATAGAGCTACCAAAAAAAATGGTGTTCCAATATTTAATAATCATCATAAAGTTATAATTACAAAATAATTTTCTATGATTTGAACACCACTACGATGACTTATGCGGCACTCTATCACAAAAAGAAGCAAAAAATGACGTTTTGCCTTCAAATGGGATTCTTAGTGAAAGAAGCAACCTTAGGAGCATGGGAACTTTCAATAGGATTATTAATATCCTATTCTTGGTGGATTTGCCCCCAAAAAGTGGCCTCTATGTTTACACATGGTCTAATTTAAGATGTACATGCTTCTCACTCCCTCATGAATCATTTCTTGATTTTAGAGGATTCAAGGTAAGTTTCAATGACTCTAGAGTTGATTATCTGAAAAGAGTCTGATGATTATCTTATCCTTATTTAAACAGGGTGTTTTAGATGGGAATCTATGCCTATTCGATTTGAGAACATATGGTTGAAGCATCCTTTCAGTTATATTTTAGATGGTGAAATTTTTTGTCTCCTAGAAGGTTGGCCAGGTTATATGCTTATATGATAAAGCTTAAAATTTTAGAGGGCTTTCTCAAGACTTAGGCTGGAACTTCTGAAGAGGAAATATATTGGGCCTAAAGATGTGAACAACAATGGGTCTTGGAGGGGAGATGAAGACTCAAGTTGTTCCGTTGATTTATGTATGGTAGAAGGAAAGGGTCCATAACTATGGCTTTCAAAAAAAGGCACTAGTCTGGTTCAAGATGAAGATACAGAGCTGGAATTTATCTCCCAACTATGACTTACACAATATGTGAGGGAATCAAATTCCGTTGAGCAGGTCTCTAATGGAACCCTATTTCAGAGGAGGATTGAAGATCCTTAGTGAAAGCGCTTGGCCTGGTGAATTCTCATGTGCATTCTGAAGATGCAAGGACCATAAAAAATCATGTTGATGTTTCATTAGGTTTTTTTTTTCTAAGAAGGTATACTTCTATGCGGACACACCTTCATCACCCTCATTTCTAATTAAGTGGATACTAAAGAAGTAATAGGGTCTACTCATAAAACTTGATCTTGGGAAGGCATATGACCTTGTTCATTGGATTTGGGTCAACCTTGATGTCATTTTTTTAAAAAGGAAAGGTTTTTGTTGGGGATGGAGAATGTAGATTGCTTTCTTATAGCTCAAGAGTTTAACCTTATAGAAGGATTTGAAAATATTAAATCGGATAAAGGTGGTCAAAATCTTCAAATACGCTTCAGGGCTTAAGGGTTTTCTATTATGCTTGAGCTCTATACTACTGCAATTTCTAATTGAGACCCCTTCTAGTTCTAACTCTATGATTGATGCAGAACTCCATTGCTAATGCTGCTATCTACGTACCAGAACCAATAACCAGATTAATCCACGAGGGTCATAATGTTTATCCAGCTTAAGTCTCTGTTTATGCATTGCCTCCCAAGTCCTAATGTTGCTGGTCGTGCTCTGCTCGCTAACCTGCTGGTGCTGGCTTCGTTTCGCTTCGCTTTTTGCCACCAAATCCTCAGCGCAAATGCAAGATTAGTTCTTTTCTTGGATCATCATATTTTTTGTACATCCCTTCTAAGATGAATGTGGGAAAATCTTGGCTTGGGCTACAACATTAAGCTCTTTACAGTTTCGTTTCCTGGCCCCTCTTACTGGGATGATAATTTTGTCGTTCAAAATAGTTATGCATCAAAGATGAGATTTATGTGCAGTGGACAACCATTAACCATGGTTCTCAAATATCTTAACTACTGTATATATGAGTTTGGGATGATTTCAGGGTTTACGGCTTCAAAAAGCAGTCAATTTTACTCGCATTGATTTTCTCTCACGTAGGTGATGCAATTTTTCTTTTTAACACTATCGTGGTCCTACTCTTTGGAAAATTATATAAATTATTTTCTTCATAGTATTCTATTGAATTGAAAACACTTTTTTCCCATTACTTTAGAAAAATGTTAAGATTTATGAAGATCAATAAATAAATGAGTAACCAACCAAATGTGTTATTAAATTACAAAAACTAAATGATTATATAATGAAAATTTACAACAGGATTAAATTGTTACAAATTTTAAATTATAAAGATTAGATGGTTATATGCTAAAATTTAGAGATTAAATTATTACTTAAACATACTCTAATAATTGACATTTTAAAAAGGGTTAAATATAAGATATTTTGTTATATTTTATTGACTAAAGAAATTTTGACACTTATTTTGTTGTTTAGAAGTTTCTTCCTTCAGGTTTACTTACCATTTAACGCCTTCCAAGAAAAGGGCGCTAGAGAAGACGAACCAAAGAGTGAAAACTAATGGGAAAATAAAATCCAGATAAATATCAAATTCATGCAAGAACTTGATGCAATTATTTAAAAGGAATGGAAAAGAATCTGTTGCTCAATTATAGATTAAAAAGAGGGGCTGCTGGGGTTATAGTTGAATCTTTGGATGGAGTAGTTTTTGACTCTCCACCTCCTCAATTCGCTGCATGACTTTCTGGGCAATGTCTACATATGCTGTAGAAACTACGGAATTTGGTTCTGATATTACAATAGGGACACCTTCATCACAACATTTCCTGTTCTTCTCTTCTAATGGTACCTGTAACAATTATCCACAAGTTGGCTCGAATGGGAATCGACACATCTATAGAAATCGATGATACGCATTCATATGATGCTATAGTCTGGAAACCAAGATAATTGATCATGAATACTTAAAATGTCTCATTTGAGAACATACCTCACCGACGAATATGATACCCATCTCATCAGCTGCCTTGCGACTTCCTCCATTTCCGAAGATATAGGAACGTTCACCACAATGTGGACACGTAAAGTAGCTCATGTTCTCTACAATTCCCAAAATCTGAAGTAGCAGTCAGGTAGAATGTTCAGATTCTTTCAAAAAACTTGGAAATATGCGTATGGAAGTTAATATTCGGATTCTTTCAGATTCTTATCACCGTGAGGAAGTGTGGGATGACTAGGTAAAAGCTGAGGCATGATCGAGAAACTATATCTTGACCACATCATTGTAACATATTTATTTTTGCTGGGGTGGTAGAATGAGATTGCACAGTCAGGATTAGTTATTTATTTAAAGGCTTTCTTTGAAAAATATAATAAAATAACGACATAGATAACAGGGGATTCACCTAGCGTGGTCATGTGTGTAAGTCATGAAACAGGATATTTACTGATGTCTTTAATATCATTTTCCCCACCCTTTATTGATGTGTATAAATTTCCAAACATTTTTCTAATTGAAAAAGAAAAATTCGACGCATGTCTACTAATAACAGAAAAAAATTCACCGGAACGTGGACGTTAGAGAACATTTTAATTCCCCTACGAGCATCCATTAATGCAACATCCTGAGGTGTTGAAACAATCAATGCACCTGGCAGCACGGAAAAGTAGTTATTAGTCTTAAGACAAATAAATATAAATTGTGAAAAAAAATGCTTATGAGAACCAGTTATATTTTCTACCATCATACTTGGAAATAACTTAATACAGATGACTGCATTTTGATTGAAAACACAAGAATTTTAGTAACAAACCTGCCAAAGAACAAACGGGTGCGACCACAAATTTTTAACCTACCAGAGAGCGACAATCTCTGTGAGATAGTAATCTGAACATCGCCTGTACCAGGAGGCATATCAACAAGAAGAATATCAAGATTTCCCCAGGCAACTCCCCTTGTCATTTTCTCGAGAGCACTTGACACCTGCGACACTAGCAAAGTTCTAAGTAAATGTGGAAAGAGTTCAATGATGAGAATAATCTTTTGAAGAACATGTAACGTGTACAGGGTTCGATCAGGAAAAGAAGCAATCATTTAGGTGACACCGATTTTCTCAACGAGGGGTTCAAATGTTGTTGGTTTGATGAACACAATGGGGAGAGAACCAGAGAGAATATAGTAGATAAAAGGTGCAAGAATGCAGATAACAACACCATAGAATAAAAAAATAAAAAATAGCAGCAAGGTGCACCAATGGCAACCTGGCTGTGGGGCCTACAATGAACCAAATACTGCAGCTGCTAGAGCAACAGGTAATGTCACCCTACCCGAGTGATTACTCTGAGGTTCAGTGCACAAAAATATGGTTTGTATTTTCAAAGCTCGTATACACGACAAGTCGAGAGATATATTTGGATTCATCCTTTAAATCTTCTCGTTAGTATAGATCTTCCCAAGGGAAAGCAGCCAAATGAGACTTAAATTCTTCTAAAGAATTTGGTTTTCCAATTAACTTTACAATCATTGGGTGAAGAGTACAATCAGACTTGAAAAGATTTTTTCAGGAAAAATCTTGAAGATTTGAGTAGTCAAGTTTGTTGTCATTCGTTAGAACTTAGAAGGATTGCAGTTATGATTCTGAATTTATGCTCTAGGAGATTGCTTCAATCTGTGATTTCTCGTACACTGAAACATATATTAAAACATCAATTTAAAGTTCTAGATTACAGCACAAAGCTAGTGGATCTACTCATTGTGTGGGTACTGGAAAGAACTTGGTCTAGGGAAACCCCCAACTAACTTAATCATCATTAATCCCCACCTTCCCGAATAAAATTGTCTACTTGAACAGATCAAAAATGAGGGGAAGCCAACAATGCAATTTCAAATACTAGCGATGCCAAACCGGGGCACTACTCCTATCTCTAGTAATAAAGCATAGTGTCTTGAAATATTGGACAAATGCTCAACAGAAAGGTTAGGGAAAACAAACCATAGGACCTCTCCACACAAGAGCAGCATTGTTTTCCACGAGTAAGCCCATTGACATGCATTTAACTCCATAGTTCTCAACAGGAATCATTTTCCTATCTGTTAAAGAAAGAATGATAAAATGATATATTATCTTTTTGAGAGGAGGAATATATTATTGGATAATTGTATCTATAAAAATTGTTTTAAAACAGAGACATTAGGATACTCACAGAGAATCATATTCAAAGCCTAAAAAATAATGAGATTAGTATTGCTATAAATTTTCTGAAGGAAAAAAGATTTTTCAGGCATGGAAAATTAGAAGAAAGTAACATAATCTGCTCTTTCTTGGGAACCGACTAACATTAATTTATCATGTAAGTTAACCAAGCAAATATACACTAGAAGCATTAATAATAATGGGGCAACAAGAATTGCTTGGAGATCAGTAGGACTATAGCAATAGAGCTTAAATTCAGCTTAAAATGAAGATAATATGAATTCTAACGAGTGATAGTTTATTTGCTAGTTAATGTAATTAAAAATAAAATATAAATAAATAGATAACCTTCCTCGGTAGTGCCTGTAGAGGGGGAAAGTGATTTATAGGGTGAGAACAGAAGAGATGAGAATTGGTACCATATCATCTCTTAGCCTAAGATTGCCATCCTAACCACCAATAAACTTTAGTTAAAAAGACCAATTATGCAAAGTTGTTCATGCCCATGTATATATGTGTTTTAACTGTCAGTAAACTTCTAGAATGGAAAAAACTTGAACCAAATCAGGTTAACCTCAATAAACAAATGTAAATTAACAATGTGAGTAATGATGGCCAGTTCAGAAATCTAATTCACCGGTGAAGGTTAAAAGTTAGTGTAAATTTAATAAGGGTGGCTCAAGCAACAGGCAGGATGGCGACAGAAAAGACGATCAAATGAGTGATATAGCACCTTATATTAGTAAGTACAGAAGGTTATAAAGTACCTTCAGTCAACTCTGGCTTTTGTTGGATTTGCATCATAGTTGGAACATTGGGTCCATATACATCAGCATCAAGTAGACCAACCTTCAGCTGCCACTTGTTTGCAAGTGCAACAGCCAAATTAACTGCCACCCACCCAATTGCATAAGAGCAACCACCAAGAAAAGTATAAAATAGTTATTGGTGCCTCAATAATACACTAAATTTCTCACAGATTTCTTTTATGAATGCGAGATATTATTCACACGAAACAATAAAGACGGCAATCTGAAATATCACAATAACAAACTAACTACTTAAAATCCATTATTAAAGTCACCTTTGATCAAGTTTAAAAATTATCCATTTTGGATTACTCCTGCATCTAAATTGAGCCTCATTTTGGTATTAAAAATCTTAAAATGCAAGGCGGAAGATAACAATTCAAAACGACGCACCCAAAGAGGTAGACAAGAATGGAGAAAAGTGAACATGATGAAGTGGATTCAGCTTGGTTAGCTCGCCAGATTATCTTATACTATAACTAGAAAAGGAGATACCATACCCAAAACCTTAAATTTTAAGAAATTTTATTATTAAAAACAAAGGCAACAGAAGCAAAATCAAGTACCTGCAGTGGTGGACTTGCCGACGCCACCTTTCCCAGAAGCGATGGCTATAGCATGCTTAATTCCATCGATTTGCAGCTCTTTTTTTGTGGCAGAATATCCTCTCACGCCTCCAAGCCTCTAGATGAACATACAGAAAAACAATCGCTCGAGTTATCCTCCATTTCGATTGCGAAGGTAAATGAACGACATGTCGAGAAAATCACGAAGCAAAAAAACAGGGAGCTGAGAGGTAAACTCACACATTTCGCGGAGAAGAACCATGAGAATCGCTTCATGAATTTATAGTTGATGGCCGGTAAAGAAGAACTTCTCTCAGAGAAACGCGACTCGAAGCTCCAATTCTTCACTTCGAATTCCAGAAGACGAACAGCAACTGCAAAGGGCCGACGAGACGACGGGCAATCGAACTTTTGGGCTTTATGCGTCATCGGCCCAGCCCAATAACATCTAATTAGTTCCACCCGGAGGCTTTTTTTTTATTATTTAAATTAAATTTCAGTCCCTTTTCCGTTAAATATAATAAGCAATGTCACTCGATCATTGCAACGGTACTCATGCCACCAGGCTGAGCAATTAGCAGTATTCAGATTGACAATTTACTATATGCTTTTCCGTTTTATAAAAAGTTTAATTAAAATTGAGACTAAAATTTTACATTGGTTAAATTAAAAAGATCACGAATATATAAATGATGTACATAATAGATGTTTAATATAAAACAACAAGCAAAATAGAGGCACGAAGGTCTATGTGAGAAGATGTATTCATGGTATATCCGTCTATACAATTTTTAATTCATCTTGAGAGAATTCCACCAGGCACAATAATGAAACCCAAGTGTTGAAGATGATATCTCCACCTGATGCTCAGGAAGCTAACACTTTGGAAGTGATAAGTTTTATAAAATAAAATAAAGCTCGCAGCAAACAACTAACATTATATTTATGTTTAAATGATTTTTATATTTATGTATATTTTTAAAAATGGACTGTTTTGTCTCTTCATTTTTTAATTTATCTAATTTTTTTCCATCAAAATTTTAGTATAATATTTCATATCCATTAAATCTCTTGCCATAAATTTGTTTTAAAGTATATCAATCGTGTATAAAAAATTTCAATAGAAACTAAAATGGTCATCTTTTAAAGTACATAAATCAAAATTGACATTTTGAAAATCCAAAGATTAAAATGAGTACGAATCAAAATAGATATTTTATAAGTACAAGATCCAAATAAATGAAGCTAAAAATATCGATATTGAAATAGGATTTAAACTTTTTTTAAAGTACACTACATATTAGTGGATGATTTAACTCACAACTTATTGATTAGAGATATATATGATTAAATTTAGTTTTGATAAATAGAATTTAACGTTAATATTTATAACACATGATTATGATACGACACTCACAAAGGTTATTGGGTGACAGTTGACACAGCCACAGCCATCCCCCACCATATGGCTGTGGCTATGCATCATTATTGGCATAGTTGGCAGACTGCCACAATGTACCCTTTTTTTGCCTTTTTCCTTGCTTTCTTTTTCCTTTATTTCTGAGTCTGCCTCAACAAAGAAAAAAAAAAACTTTCTTCTTCTTTTTATATGGAAGAACTGGCTCAGAAACACACACTTTTTTTTTTTTTTGGTGTGTATGTATCATGATAGCTGTTTCCTTATTTACCTGATTTGGTAGCTTAATAACAATGGAAATACAGTTGGTTCCAACGGTTTTATTCATCCATGATCAAACAAGGGCTTCTCCGTAATTCCACTCCAGTTTTTTCTTAATCATATTTTTCTTACATTTATCTGTTTTTATTCCATTGCAAAATGCAAATTTGGAATCTGTCGTCCGGAATCAAGGTTGCATCCTCCTTTTTTCTTCTTCTTCTTCTTCATTTCTGTCCTTTTCGTTGCTTCTCCTCTCCATTTTCTTGCTGATTGTGATGATCCTCCAGCTTCAAACAAGGTAAGCCTATACTCATAACATTTGGTTTCATTATCAAAATTGAATACAAGGGCATTTGTAATTTGTTTTACGTAGGACTTGAGCTTTCTGGATTAATATTTTATTGGGTTGAGATTATTCTGAATAAACTACCGAGGTGTCCAAACAAATGGGTATTTGGGTTTTTGTGGGATCAGGAAATCTCATGCATTGTCGTGTTCAATCTGATTTTGCTTTCTCACGTTTATGCCTCACTTGGATTTTTCCGGCCCCTTTCTTCTTGGTTTCTTCCGGCATTCTTTCTTCTTAAGAAAATCGTGATTACTTCAATTTTGGGCCTGATAATCGAACATTTTGAGATTGGTTGGCTTTTTTCTTCTCATTTTGCTTTTAGCTAATCTGCATTTTGGCATTATTTGAACGTCTGTATTGGGAAATTGTTCTCCAATCCACTTTTAGAGCGCTGGGTCTAGAACGAATTTGAATCAACTTCCTCTCTCTCTCTGTCTCTCTTCCCCTCTTACAAAGAAAAGAAATTCCTCTATGAGCACTTCATCTTCTTCTTTATCAATTTGTTTTCAGGGAGTAATGAATATAGTGCTGCTTTATCCAACACCCACATGAATGAGGATTCAGTTTGACTTATATTTTTCTTGAAAATCTCTATTTTGTTCGTAGTTTTCCTTGTATTCATCTTAATTTCTTTTTCTTTTTTTACTCACTGGATGAATTTTGGCCCCCTTGTTAAAGATTCCATACACCATTATTTTGGTTTTGGTTTTCTTTCTAGATAATACCACTTTAATGGCCAATTTTGGATAATTTTTTCGGGGGTTCATATATATCTTATTTTCCTTTTTATATTGGAATTCAGTATTCACATTAGGTGATCCAATTCAGGACAGGATGCTTAAAATTTGGAGCATCGATAATCTTCATCGTCTAAAGATTATCTGGTTGGCAGAGAGATGGTAGCCTCATGAAATTCTAGAGCAATGGCAGCAAAAGGAAAAGCATATTGTAAAGCTCAGAGGAATCTACAGGGTTTTGCAGCCATTCTAAAGTCTGCAGCTTGTGAATGGCTTCTCATTTTTCTAATGCTCATTGATGCCTTGTTGTCACATGTTTTGACTAAATTTGCATATATTTGCAACTTGCAAACGCCTTGCATTTTGTGCTCCAGGCTTGATCATCTCTTGGGAAAAGAAAAATCTAATAATTATAGGAATCTTCTCTGTACCAACCATAAATTGGAGATATCATCTTTAGTTTCTTGCTACAAACATAATAAGCTTGTTGATGGCAATGAGATGTGTGACGCTTGTATTTATTCATTTGCTACAACAAATAATAAACTCAAGTCCAACTTCAAGTTTCAGAGGTTGTTAGTGGGAAAGTTCAGGTCAGACACTGGTGGAAATGGAGCTCATGGGAAGTTACTAAATAGGCATTCAATTACTCATTGTATTAGGACAAGGCCTTGTTCTTGTTGCAGTAAGCCTTGGAAGACAAGGCCAAATGCTCAAGGATTACTGCAACTGAAACCTTCTGTAACTGCAACCACTAAACTCAATATCCCTTTGCCACGACACTTAAGTAGTCGAGATAGCTTGAAAAAGATGAGGGATAAAATTTCTGGTTCAGTTACCTTACAACATCCAGGAAAAACTGGTTTCAATCTGTTGTCTCGTGTAGGATACAGTGAGCTCAATATCATCTCTGATTCTGAGTCGGAGTTTATGCTTTTTGAAGAAGATGACGATAGAAGTTTAATATGTGAAAAAAGTGAGCTTATAGAAGATTCTGTTCTTCAAACTATAACAAAAATTCCACTCAAGCCTCATTGCAATAATTGTGATCAGGTTAAGCCATCCATTAATTTTGTTGGTTCAAGGCCTTCACCTTTAGAATCATATGTGCAGGTTGATGTGCAAAAGCCCCATAACGTGAAATCCCTTGCTTCTGATGCTACTACTTTTCATGGACTGAGCGAGTTGAATTGGCTGCCCTGGCCAGCCAATCCGACTGCCGACCCTTCTACATTGCCTGAACTTATTTCACTGGATGATGCATTATCCCCTGCATCCAACGTCTTGGGACTTCCTCACACTAATTCAATGGAGAAAAGCGAGCTTACAGATTCTCTCAGCCAGGAGTCCTCTCTCTCCTGCCCACCTGAGTTTGTCACATTACATCATGACCCGAAAGTTGAGGGAAACTTAATGACATGTGAGTTGTGTCCGTATCTGTCCTTGTCTCTCTAGATGTGGTATAGATGCTTTTGGCTTTGGCTTTTCTCTCCTTTTTTTTTTTTTGTGTGTGTTTTTTCATGCCTACAATTTTTTTTTTTTTTTGCCCAATTTCTTTAACCCTGGTTATATATGGCAGGTGAGGAAACAAGAACAGATAATACAGGAATTGTATCTCTCAATGAGCTTGAGGATCATTCAATATCAAGCAAAACAATTGCAGAGTGTCCCAAAATTGATGAGGTGGTACACGAATCTTCTATTGAGTACACGAAAGATGATGTGGATCACAGCAGTGTTAGTGAGTCCTCCGAGAATGATAAGGAAAAAGAAGTCTTCAATTTGGCTACCGAACAATCTTCACAAAAGGAAACTGATATGGTTACTAATGATCTTAAGCAGTTTCCATTGATCAGCACATCAGTTGAAGAATGTCCTAAAACGGATGAGGTGGTATGTGAATCTTCTATTAGGAATGCTAATGATGATATGGATCACAGCAATGTTAGTGAATCCTCCGAGAGTAATAAGGAACAAGAAGTCTTCAATTTTGCTACAGGACAACCTTTGGAGAAGGAAACTGATGCAGTTAGCACAATAATTGAAGCATGTCCTAAAACTGACGAGGTGGTCCACGAATCTGCTATTAGAAACACTAATGATGATATTGATCACAGCAGTGGCAGCGAGTCTTCTGAGAGTCATAAGGAACAGGAAGTGCTCAATCTTGCTACAGAACAACTTTTGGATAAGGAAACTGATATAATTACTAATGATTTGAAGCAATTTCCATTGGTTAGCACAACAGTTGAAGAGTGTCCTAAAACTGATGAGGTGGTATATGAATCTGCTATTAGGAATGCTAATGATGATATGGATCACAGCAGCAGTAGCCAGTCCTCTGAGAGTGATAAGGAACGAGAAGTCAATTTTGCTACAGGACAATCTTTTGAGAAGGAAGCTGACATAGTTACTAATGATCTGAAGGAGTTTCCATTAATCGGTGCAGCAGCTGAAGAATGTCTTAGAACTAATGAGGTGGTCTATGAATCTCCTACTAGGAACACTAATGATGATATGGATCACAGCAGTGTTAGTGAGTCCTCTGACAGTGATCAGGAGCAAGAAGCCTTCAATTTTGCTTCAGGACAACCTTCAGAGAAGGAAACTAATATAATTACTGATGATCTGAAGCATTTTCCATTGATTAGCACAACAGTTGAAGAGTGTCCTGATACTGATGAGAAGGTCGATGAACCTGCTATTAAGAACATTAATGATGCTATGGATCATCATAGTGTTAGCGAGTCCTCTGAGAGTGATAAGGAACATGGAGGCTTCAAACTTGCTAAAGGACAACCTTCGGAGAAAGAAACCGGTATAGTTACTAATGATTTAAACCAGTTTCCATTGCAGAACAATTCTGTTGAACTTATGAATCAATCATCATCGGATGATGAAGGCCAAAATGATAGCATTTCTTGTGATGATTTGCAAGAAGGATTTGCCTATGAATTCAACATAATTCGAGCACATGATCCTTCAGTCCCAATGGATTCTGATGTTGAATCATTGGATGGAAGCAATGTAAGTGAAATTGAAGGTGAAAGTATTGTTGACAGGTTAAAGCGACAAGTTGAATATGATAAGAAATGCATAAATTCTTTGTATAAAGAGTTTGAAGAAGAACGAAAAGCTTCTGAGGTTGCTGCAAGTCAAGCCATGGCCATGATCACGAGGTTGCAACAGGAGAAGGCAGCAATGCATATGGAGGCTCTTCACTACTTGAGAATGATGGAAGAGCAAGCAGAGTATGATGTAGAAGCTCTAGAGAAAGCAAACGAACTCATCAATGAAAAGGAGAGAGAAATACAAGATTTAGAAACAGAGCTTGAATACTACAGAGCTACTTACATGGGAGGTACGATAGTTGAGATTGAAGAGTACCGTGAATGTAATAGCAATTATTCCTTTAAATCAGCAATTGCAGAGGCAACAAGACGAAGCAACAGATCTTTGAATCATCAAACTTCATCTTTAGAATTTGAAGATGAAAAAGTCTACATACAGCTATGTTTGAAGAGCTTGGAGGATAAGATCAACAAAATATCTACTAATGGAATTTTAGCGAAGGTTCCTAATTGCATAGATATTGAAGAAGTGGTGAATCCTAAACAAAGAGGGGAAGAGAGTATTGATGCTGAGGGATCTCAAATGACCAAGGAAGAAAATGGTCCATCCACGCACATAGACAAAAACACCTTTAATGGAACAGTTGCACCAGAAGAAGAGTTGGTTGATCCAAAAAACAACGGTCGTTTTAGTGGTGACGAAAACTATCCTGATATGAAAGGTCAAATAAGTTGTGCAAACAAAAGAGAGGAGGTTGACTTCCTTGCTCTTGAACATAAAATTTCAGACCTTACTGGAAAGTTGGTAGCACTACAAGCTGATCATGATTTTCTTGAGCACTCTCTTAATTCTCTTCGTTACGGTGAGGAGGGATTACAGTTTGCTCAAAATATAGTACATCAGCTACAAGAATTGTGTAAACTCGGGATTAGGCTAGATCGTCTACCTGGCTCTTAAATTCTTCAGGCAGCATGATATGGTAAGTAAGTATTACTAACAAAGTAAAAATTCTAAATAACAGTCATGCTAGCATTACATACAAAGTTCAGCATTTTGGTTTATGCACTACAAATTCCTCTTAGTATAGCAAACTTCTAAAATCAAACTGTCCACAAGCTGTTGTATCGTTGAATTTCTCTAAAATCTGTGGAATCATGTTTTATTATTTGGGCTCTATATCTATTGCCAGAGTTTCATTCATCGATGAAACAGATTATGTTTCTTCTTACTTGAATGTTGCTCCATTGATTTTCTAATCTCAACTTTGTTGCTATAATCTCACTACCTTCTGAACACCTAGATGAATTATTACCATAGGATAACTTTTAATTTGATAGAATTTCCCTGCCTGTTCCTGCAACTTGCCTTCCTGTGGCTTTTCAAAAGGTCCACTCTGACTTTGTAACTGAACGAAGTTTTAATCTGAAGAAAGAAACATAACTGGACTGACCTCTAAATTTCGCATATGAACTAGTAGCTATGTATGTCATTAGGATTACTTGAGGCTCACTTTAAATTCATGTTTCTCATGCACAATCTAGAATTTAAATCCATAACCCACTAGAGAGTAGTTACTGACATATTCCCATGGAGAAATCTAGCAGAGTATCATTATCTTTATGGGGGAAACTTCAACTTGTTGAAGTATTTTTAGGCTCTCAATCATTGAAACTTCCAACTTCTTTTCTGATGCTGTTGTAAATGTTTAAATGTAGAAGATACCATGATGCTGTACTGTTGTTCCTAAACCATTTCTTGATCTTCTTTCTCCAGATTATGCACACAACTTTAAGAGACCGAATAAATCTTAAAATGGGAGCCAGTAATCAGTCTGTAATCATTAAAACATTGAAAGGTGCAAACCCAGATGAGAAAAGTCATGGTTCATTCCTTTTGGTTGATGCTGCAATCCATGGCCATGGCCATGGCCATTCCAGAGAAAGTTCAGAGTAGATGAAGAATGGTGTATGTTGTACAAAATAGTACCATCAAATCAAACCATGGAAGCTGAGTCTTCCCATATTTTTGGCTTTTGAATTTTGTGAAGGTTAGTGTTTTTACTTGCTGAGGAGCTCGTGATTCTTGTTTCTGTATATCCATGTTTTTTGAGGTTTACCTTTCTGAAACCAAAATAAACTGTTCTTTACCATTGCATTCTTTCCAGATCATAGTATATTTTACTTTACAAAAATATTAATCGATAAAATATTCATATCAATGGCTAGTATTTTACAATTGATGACTTTATAAAACTGAGGTTTATGAAACCCATCTTTTATACTATAGGCTGGATGGAAAATTTTCTCATGAATTTTGGTTGGACTCATTTGACGTAAGAGGTGACGTCAGCTGAGTGTTTTCAATGACACGTGTGAACATCTGTTAAGTTGGTTGACGACAGCATATGAATGGCTCCACACATTTCATCATGCTCAGCCGGAGACTCATTTTCTCAAGATTTTTACAAGTCTTTTTGAACAACTTTTCTGTTCTTAAGATTAATGGATTATATATAAATGTAGTTGAAGTTGGTTTGGTTAAACTTCACGAATAATCTTTAAATTATCTTTTAATCACAAGACCCACCTATTTCATTCTATTTTTATGCTAAAATTTAATATAAACAAGAGTTAACTAAATAGAAAGTATCAACTCATTGTTAAAAAATGTTGAAAAAAGGGTTAATATGGTAACGATGTAGGCGATTTGTGAAGTTTGATTAAATTATAGTAACTAAATTGAAAATTTTAGAACTACAAGGACCAAACTATACTATATGGACTAAATTAATTTTTTTAGAACTGCAGATACCAAATTAAAAATACATTCTAGAAAGAAAAAAAAAGAGAGTTTGTCAAATATTTAGGTTTGATTTGGCCTCGTCTTGGTCTTTGCTGCGCCATACTTTCTCTCTCACTTTTTGACTTGTTGCCAATGTTGAACTTGGAGTCAATTTTCATCCCCAAATCCAAATTTTCAAATACTTCAGGGGTCTAACTGTAATTTGTGAAACTAGTTTAACCACAAAGAACTATTAGACATCAAATAGGAATTTCATAAACCTATTAAATTTTAGATTACAGTCCTTAAAAGTTTTGGAACCATATTTTTATTATTAAAAAAAACACACACAAGTGCTAAGACAGTTCATCAGGAATGCATCAGCTAGCTGTACACGTGGCCCAAGTTTAATTACACTCTTGGATATTGAAAAATTTTCTTAGTATTACAGCATAACATAGAACCAAGTAAATTTTCCTAACTAACTACAAACCAAAATATCAAGAGAAAATTTTATGGTATCACGGAAGTATCATATTTCCTTCTATTTACTGTTTGCCATATCAGTAGTATATTAAATAGAAGGGGAGTACCATAGATTTTTCTTAGTTAGTTTTAGAATTTTTAATTATAGTTACTAAGTTGTACTCATTTGTAATAATCACACAATAGTTGTGAATGAGTTTTCCTTAAAAACTTTATTTAAAGTCTTCTTATAATTCATGATTTTTTATTTATTATTATTATTATTTTAAATAAAATATGTGAGGTGGAGGACTCCGAACGCACTACTTTTGTCTTAATTGAGCTATATTCGTATTAGCAAAATTTATAATAGTCGTGAATTTTTGTCATATAATTCAGCTTTTCTTCTGTGACTTTGACTTCAACGACTAAATAGTGTTGGAGACGAAAGTTGTAAATTAATCGAAGGTTTTTATAATCAGTTCAACTTTACTTGCTGAAGTGTGACAAAACCATTACAATTATTAATTGAATATTGATCAAGAGTGCATTTTCAATATACTACTTTCCAAAATGTTTAGAGAGGAGATCTTTTCTGTTTAAAAAAAAAATTGTCAAATTTTAATAAGCGGTACAAGTATTATTGTCTAGTAAAATGATATTCTTTTCTAACCTCTTAATTAGAGATATATGTCAATTATTCTGAACTGTGTTCACTTTGACCAGTAACCAAATATTGTTAAAGCTTTTAGTATAGCTCTAAAATTTTAATATAAATTATTTAATATGTCTCTAAATCAAGATTTAAAATGTCGATGCGTAGAAATATCAAGGTCTCAATTTAGTGGAAATGTCAATGAAAATATGATAAAATGTTGATGATAGATATTTATGAAAAAGTTATAAAAATAAAAGATTTGTAAACAAATATTTAAATTAATAAATAGCATTTTATCCTTTCTAAATAAGTTAAAAGTAATTAATATTATGTCTAATGAGATTTTGTTGATATTTTTAATATTTTGTCAATTTTTTTGTATTATTATGGAAATGTCAATTTACCTCTTAGGTGGATATCGAACTTATGGATACATGAAAATGTCGACATGTCGATGGATAATTAATACCATGTTCAAAACTTTCCATTTTATTTATATTAAATTTGAACTGGATAAAAATTTATCAAACAAAAGTTTCATGCACAAAAGAAAAATACTTTTTTTTTCACAGAACAAAAGAAAAATACTTAAGTCTTGACTTGTGAGAATCTATTTTTATGTTGATCGGTTTGAAAATTTGACAATTCATTATTTTATTTTTGAAAAAGAATTCTATTTTTTTTTCATTTTTTTCTTGTCAAATATTCAACGTGGACATAGGCCAAGATAGATAATCGCCACTTAGAACCAAAATATTTTCTATTACAAAATTAAAGTTATAGATCTATATGAAATATTTGGTCAAAAAACACATTTGATGCCCGCTATTATACTAAAGTTTAGTTCTTAAATTTTAATTTGTAACAATTACCCTTTATTTTCAAATTAGTAACGGTTTAGAGCTTGAGTATGTAACAATTTAGTCTACACCATGAAAAATCTAATGAAAATTAAGTATCAATTTTTATGGCATAATAATGTAGTCTTTGTAATTTTTAATCACATTTAATCTCTTATCAGTTGATCAATTTATATAAATATAAGAACTCTAACACAAGTTTTCATGATAAAAATTAAGGTGTGTTTGGGAGTGATGATTTTTGCCATGGTCAAAATCACTTATTTTCCATGGATCATGTTTGACAAATTAAAAAATTATTTTCAAGATAACTTAAAATCATCATAAATTGATTTTTAAATTATCACTTGTTTTGGAAAATTAATTATATTTAAATCTATGTTTTTTTTCAAAACCATTAATTCTATCATCACTCCCAAATACATCCCAAATTGTTGCAAACTTTAAATTATAGGAGACTAAATTGTTATATATTAAATTAATTATTATCAATTTAAAAATATATGATTAAATCGAATTAAAATTGAGAGACTAGATCATTTGATTTATGTCATCACTTTAGCATAGAATCCTTGAAATTCACCGCTTTGAAAAATTATATAAAACATAGCCATGGGATCCAAGTGTAACACACGATTCATTTCCCTGTAGACCACACAATGTTGGCTCAAATATCATTGTTTTCCCTCTTTTCCCTTTTCCCTCTGCTTTTCTGCATCTTCTTCTTCTTCACCAAGACCAACAAAAATCCTTCCTCCGTTGAACTCCCCAAATCGTATCCTCTAGTGGGTTCCTTCTTCGCCGTATTTGCCAACCGGCACCGCCGTCTGCAGTGGCTCTCCGACCTTCTCCAAATCTCCCCGGCCGCCACCTTCACCCTCCACCGCCTGTTCGGGCAGCGGCAGGTTTTCACCGCTGATCCCGCCGCCGTCCACCACATCCTCAAGACCCACTTCCACATCTACCAGAAAGGACACTCCTTTCGCTCTACTCTCACCGATTTTCTCGGGGACGGCATCTTCAACGCCGACGGCCACAGCTGGAAATTTCAGCGCCAAGTTTCGAGCCACGAGTTTAGCACCAGATCGCTGCGCAAGTTCGTCGAGTCCGTCGTCGACGTCGAGCTCTCCGATCGACTGCTCCCCATTCTTCGCTCGGCGGCCACGGCGCCCTCTGTTTTGGATCTTCAGGATGTTCTTCAACGATTCGCTTTTGACAACGTTTGCAAGATTGCTTTTGGGTGAGTATCTGCGGTTTTTCAATTTATTACTTCATTTATAATTTTCAATTTCGTCGGTTGGTTTCAATTAGGATTTTTTATCCCATTTTATCATGCATTCGGATCTTTGACCCCTTCTTAAAAAAAAAACTGATCTAATCGGGATGGAATATTTATTCTATATGTAATCGGGTCCGAGTTTGTGCTATCTCGAGTCCGGGATTAATGAGGGATTTTTTTTTTCTTTTTAATCACCATCATCTTGAGCATTAGCATTTATGAAATCTTGAAATCATGAGTTTATTTTTAAATTAAATCCTGAACATTCATGTGTTTCTTGACTCAAAATTTAAGGAATATTGATTTTTTTTCTTTATAATTAAATATTGATGGTAAAAAACTTCTTGTTTTTAAGAATCAAAATTGGTTCTCCAAATTAAAAATAGTGTGAGTTTTAAGAGTTGGTGGAAAAATCAAAATTGTGGAGAATTTTACTTTGAGAATCTTAGGAGGACAAAAAAGTGAAGATATGTCAAAACTAAGTATGCTTTTAGAAAATGGGTCAAACATTAGAACTGTTGGGAAGGGTCAAAATTCCCAATTTCCCCATGTTGTTCTCGCGGTTATCATTCAATAACTGGTACATTTTTATATTTATGGTCTAATTATGAATTTGGGTCTGGTAATTTATGGCATGATTTCAATTTATTTCCTATAGTTTTTAAAGATAGATAGCTTAGCTTCAATTTAATCTGATATTTTTTTAGTTTAAATGTGGAGATCCGGTAATAAATATCTTTTATCTACCCAACTAATTTTTAAGAAAATCACTACTCTAAATAGTGAGCATTAAATATTTTAAATAATTTTTTTTTATAGTTTAATCTTTATTACTATGATTTTAGTCCCTATATTTTCAACTTTGGTTATTTTAGCCATATACGATTTGACTCTTATAATTTTTAAAAGTGACTATTTTAGTTTCTTAATTTTGTTTTTAATCTCATTTTTTCTATCATTTTTTTCAACCGAACACTTAATATATTTATGGAAATATAAAGATAATTTTATATTAAATGGTTTTTATAAGAATTTGTGTAAAAAGCAGAGGATGAAACGAATCTACAGGATCCAAACGAATATTAAACGAATATTTTGAAAGAATACGGTTGAAACGAATCTTTTCAACCAAAACCAAAGATGAAAATATCAGATCAAAATAAATCAAAGCAGGATCAAAATAGTATTTTAATTAGGATGACTGAAGGCAATTGAAAATTTTAAAACTTGAATGAAATTGAAAGTAGCTATGCAAGTAATTGGTGGTGATTAGATTAATTTTATGTAAATGTTGAACGCAACAGGTATGATCCAGCTTACTTATCACCTTCGTTCGGGCAATCAAAATTCGCGATGGCTTTTGAAGATGCAGTAAGAATCAGCAGCGGCAGGTTCGCGTCGCTGCTTCCAATAGTCTGGAAAGTGAAGAAATTCTTAGACATTGGATCTGAAAAAAGGCTTCGAATCGCAATCTCCGAGGTTCGAGGATACGCGAAGAACATCATAGAGGAGAAGAAAAACGAGATCAAAACCAACGCTTCCATCGATTCAGTCGATCTCCTATCCCGGTTCCTCAGCTCCGGCCACTCCGACGACAATTTCGTTGCCGACATAGTCATAAGCTTCATCCTGGCCGGCCGGGACACCACGTCGGCGGCGCTCACCTGGTTTTTCTGGCTGCTCTCGAAATACCCAGAAGTGGAGGATCGAATTTTGGACGAAATTAACGACAAATCCGAAATTAGTGGCGGTGGGTATGATGAAGTGAAGGATTTGGTGTACACGCACGCGGCTCTGTGTGAGAGTATGCGGCTGTACCCTCCGGTGCCGGTGGACGGGAAGGAGGCGGCGGAGGACGACGTGTTGCCGGACGGGACGGCGGTGAGGAAGGGGGAGAGAGTGGCGTACCATCCGTACGCAATGGGGAGGCTGGAGTCGATTTGGGGGTCGGACTGGGCGGAGTTCCGGCCAGAGAGGTGGCTGGAGAGGGATGGCCCGGCGAAGTGGAGGTTTGTGGGAAGAGACAATTACACGTACCCGGTGTTCCAGGCGGGGCCGAGGATTTGTTTGGGGAAGGAAATGGCGTTTCTGCAGATGAAGAGGATGGTGGCCGGAATTTTGAAGAGATTCCGGGTGGTGCCGGCGGCGGAGGAGGGTGGAGAGCCGAAGTTTGTGCAGTACATGACGGCGAAAATGGAAGGTGGGTTTCCGGTGAGGATTGAGGAACGAGAGGTCTGGTGAGAGGAGAAATGGTAATTTGTTCGAATAACGTTTACTTTTAGACACCCAATTATATAAATGTCTAAAAATTACACGTTGGTGTTTATGGAGTGAAACCCAATTATAAAGTATAGTTATCCAGATTAATTTTGGGAAACAAATCAAATCAATAAGCGCGATTATTTTAGAAATGTAGCTAAAAGATCTCCATATTCACTAGAATTCTTAAGCGGTGGTTAATCTGTTGCGACGAAGAACTTGTTCAGTGGTGCCACAGAAACTACATCATGATTTTGGGTTGCTTTTTGTTCTTGTCTTTCTCGCAAGGTACCCCTCCCCTTTTCTAACCCCCTTGGTAGCGGTGGGAATGTGATTTTCATTTTGGCAAATGTTTTGCTCCTTCCGTGTAATCCAATCCAATCATACACTTTGAGTACATTTTAGGTACATGTGTCAGGAAAATAGAATTATTCTTTGGAAAAGAAGTACTACCTACACAACTTATAATATTATATAATCATATAACATAATACAAGATATATGTTATATAACTTAATTAATACGCTAGAAAAATTAATGAATAAAAGATAAAAAAAAAACCCGTCCAGAGAACTCAAAAATGGTGATGACAAAAATTTGAAATTTGGGGCGATTATACGTACACATTGAAACGGGAAATATCAGCATAATTAAAATAAAATAAAAGAATAATTACGATAAAAATTAGGGGTGTAAGGATCCGAACCGAAATCGATGTTTTTAAAATACATAACCCTTCATCGAAATCGGTTTTGATGAAGAAGAAGATTCAAAGTCGGTTATCTTGGGTTTTTCATGGAGGTTGGTTTTGAAGAAGATGAGTTTTTGTGAGTTTTCATGGTAATGTTTGAAAAAAGAAGGGTGGTTTACAAATCAAAATCACTAATCTTTTACTTATAGTTTACCATATGTTTTTTTTACACTAATTTTGTGGATTTCCTAAAAATTTCAGAGTGGATTTTTTATTTTGAAGTAAGATACCATGGAGAAAGGAAATCTGTAAGAACCTCTAGTCCATTGCACCTCTAAAAAAAAAAATATAATGTCATAATAATTGCAATATATGACATTAAATGAAAATTTCTAGCTGTCAAAGTGAGTATAGCTGATAATTGATATATATCTTAAACTCACATATGTGGGTTTGATCTAAAAAAAACATAAAATCTCTGCTTATTTCAAATAAATAGTTGAAAAATTATATAATAAATATAAAAAAGACATATCGCGAGATATTTCTCTAATAAAATTGTAATGATTAAATTTAGGGAGAGATATGTACCCTATGAGCTGATATTTAAGCCCAGTTTTTAGTGAGAGGCGGGCCCAATACATATTGGGCCTCAGTTACGATGAGCCTATTAATTGGAAGAGGGACATGGCCAGGAAAATAACAAAGTTTGCACAAAACTATTAGCAATTAAATAAAACTTATACATATTAACTAGAAAATCGTGAGTTCAAATCCGCATCCACATGTTGTACTAAAAATATTTTAATAGTCTTTCCTATATTTTAGAAAATTTAAATAAAAATAATATTAAAATTTTAAAATATGTTACAAATGCAAGACACAGATTTAAATATTTAATCTATAAGTCAAGATATTGTCCGTTTTGGACATAACTCTTGAGACTTTTACTTTCATTTCATCCAAAAGACTTTATATTAACGAAGATAGTTGTCCTTATATACTATGAATCACTCAATTCCTTGAGCAACGTAAGACTTTGTTTGCACTTCTTTTAATCCCAACACCATTCTCTGTGCATCATGAACTTTGCAGTTAAGCAATTAAAGTAGAGAACTTTCGATTTTCTAAGATAAATTTAATAGATATTCTATAAAACGTTATAGTATTTTTTTCTTTTAATATAACATAAATGTGAGTTTTAATTTTATTTAGATGATTTAGATGATGTGTGTTTTTTTTAAATTATAAACTACATTTTCTTTTTATGTAAATATCTCTTTTCAAATATCTCAGGCAGGGGAGAAATGGTATAAATTCTAAAACAATTATAAAAAATAGAGTGCCATTAAAGTTTATTATTATTTTTTCAACAACACGTAGGAAAATGATAAATATTAAAGTGGAATTAAATTGAAGTGGTAGAATTCAAGTTTTACCTTATTGGGTTACATAGTTTTGAAACCATATATATTGTGAAATGCACACAACATATACATATATATTTTAGGATAATTTCTAACCAATCCTTGGGATTTCAACAATTACATCCTGAATATTAACAAACAACCGAACTCGATCACATCTAAGATCTTCAGTGACTCCACTTCCAGCCAAGATTGTTTGAACTCGTTCCACATTCGGATTATCTTTCTTGATAATGTGCTCTCCAATCTTTGATTTTATCCCAACAAGTTCCGGCCACACATTTTTTCCTAATCAACSAAAACAAATTCATCACCAACTAATTAATCTTCACGCTCCCCGGTGTTAAGGATCCCACGTAGGGACCTAACAAATATTTATAATAGATATGAACTACTTCTTTCATTGCCAATTGATCTTGAGGTGAGATCCAATTGATATGGTATTAGAGCTCAAAAGCYCAAACGAACATCCGCTTTAAAAATGGGATCCAGTCAAGATCCACGAGCTAAAAGAGCCACGATCTTGAGGTGACAAGTTAACGATCTCACATTGAAAAGAAAAAGGACCTTACATAGGTTCATAATAGACATGAGCTACTCCTCTCATTGTCGGTTTTAAGATGGAACCCATAAATACAGTACAACAATTCTTCRATTCGAAAAACAAGAATAAGGCCACTAAAAACACACTTTTTAATTAAAAAGGGTTTCAAAAACAAAATCAGAATTAAAGCTATTTTGAAGATGATTTATATACAAAAAGAAAAAGAAGATAAACAACGATGAATGAAATTAAAGTGTAGAAGTTAAAAAGCAGAAATGGAAGCATACCTGCAGAAGGGCAAAAATCAGCCATTGTTGAATAATTAAGTTGATACTATTGATGGGGTTGAAATGCAATATCAGAAGGATCAATATTTATAGGGAAATGACATTCTGAAGGGTGGCGCCCCAAGTTTTGGACCATATATAAAACTTGACTACACACTATATTTTGCTATATTATTATATTGTTGAGAAGACATGTAGAGATATATACGAAGAATGAGGACAAAGAAATTGTATTGGCTTGCGTGTTGTATTCTACAATATATTATATATAGAAAAATGAGGCTGCTGCCTGCTGGGCTGAGCCCCTAGTGGCATTGTTTTCATATTGCAATTAAAAGGGTCTTCCCATTAATTAACTTATTATGAGTATGGGGGAAGTTCAATTGTATAAGAGCTAGATAAATTTTCTTTCAAGTAGCTGTCAAATTATATACATTCATGTAAGAAATAACCAAATCTAGAAATTAGAGAGAGGGGAAAGTTGTATGTATATATATATTTTTCTCAATATACATTTTATTCGGACAAATTTGTAGGTAAAATATAAATGAAAGGTCCAGTTTGATAACACGATTTTATTTTTATTTTTTATATTTTTAAAAAAGTTATACTTGTTTTCTTATTTTGATATGTTTTTCATATTTATTCAGATTCTTAACCAAATAAAAAAAAAAAAAACTTTTGAAGACTACTCATTTTGATTTTGAAACTAATTTGGCTTGGATTTCAATAACAAAGACAAAATAATACTGTAGGGCTCATGTAAACTTAATTTTCAAAAATAAAACAATAAAAAGAGATAAAGATGTGATTAATTTCCGATTTAAACTTTTATTTTGGTAACTCTCTCCCAATTTCTCATTGTAATTAGGTTATTTAATATTATCATAAAAAACTTTTAAAAATAGTGATGTTGATGAGGATTGAATGCCAATTGGTCGAACAGTTAATATATATAATTAATGTGCAAAATATATACGTGGCTTTCTATCCTAATTCTATCCCATTCACTTTTTTGGTCCAAGCCTCCCCCGTTCCAATTTGTGCACATACATCTCCTTTATAATAGATCCAACTTGTTCATGTAGGAATTCTCTCATCTTTCACATTCTAATATATACAAAAATTGAATTTTAAATTTTTAAAAATTAAGAATGACATAAGAAAAAGATGCATGTATTACAAATAAAATTATATACTTGTCAGACCACCGAGTAATAAAACATATAATATTTCATTGGCATATATTTATAATCAAAAGATTAGTGAGTTCGATCCCTTCAACCCCACATGTTATACTAAAAAAATGGTTATAAATATTACTACTCAAATATTTTAAGCGTCATTTTTCTAAAAAAGAAGAAGCTTCTGGTTGGTAGAATTCCTTCCCTTAAAAGCATTTCAAAATTCAAATGGTTTTTTTTTCATCTTTTTATTTAACTTTTTTTGTTTAATAACATTTTATTCTTGCATGATTAAATTTAAATTAATTAGTAAAGCACGAAACCACAAACGGTTATCACCGTACGCTATTCAGGCAGGTAAGTGTGTTGCCACCTCTGCTGTACGTCAAGGACGCTGAGTACTGCGACCTGGCACTCGACTGCAGGTTGCAGGCCTGCAAATGGAGGTGCCACCCACTAATTGTCAGGGGGTGTACTCTCCACCATCAAGGCCTTGTACAGCTTGACGCTCCTCTACCACCTCAACTGTCGTCATTTTTGGTCGGTCATCCGCGCTTATAAAATGGAATGACCCCCACCTCAGCAAGGTACGTGAAAAACCTGTTACTAAGGTGTCCACCCTATTTTCTTACTCCGATTACTAACTTAATCGTCATAGTGTATTAGGCGAAACACCGCACCAGTATTGAGTTTTCTGGTTGTAGACTCATTTGCTCCTTAGTGAAAGCACACCCATTCGAGGGATACGTAGACCTCACCGAAATTTTCCGTCAACAAATTATATATGTACAGAAGCTACAAATTACCGCACTAATTAGTGTCAAATAAATAGTAAATTCAAACATAGCTTAGTGGACAAAGTATAGTATTACCATTCAAAAGGGGGTGATTTCATATGATTCTCCATCTCATAATGTTAGAGCTAAAAAAATGTTAAATAAACCTGGGAAATTGGGGTTTTTGACCCCACCAATAGTTCAAATTGGATAAATGAACCCCTTTTAAAAAAACATAA